CCTTCTGTGTATCAGTAGATATATAAAGCTTAAAATGGCAGAAGCTGGCAACTTCCATTTGAAATATGCTCAGGATCCTAACACAGCCAGAACTATCACTGACAAACATCCCAATAATGCCTCAAAGTAATGGTACTACATTGTGTAACATCAAATGGCTATTTATACAGCTACTACTACAGTATCAAGGGCTTTCAACAGAAAAAAATGGGGGGAAAAATAATTAACTTGGATCATTTGTTTTCTGAAGAACTGAAGAGTGCTTCAGAAACAGTGCCTACACCTCTGGTGAAATTAAAAGCACTCACCAATACAATTTGGGAGTGACAGGAAAAAGCCAACATGTTGCACAGAGCATGAGAAGTGAAATAAAGCAATTATTTCTATTTTTACAAAGTGTCATAGAACTGCTCATTGTTGTGAAAAACAGACACCACTGAACCAGAAATTGATTTAGTGCGGGGGAAATACAACATTTGACACCAATGAGTCTAGATACATGCATGGTGTTCAATATAGCCTTTTCTACTGCTTTTCTATTACTTCCTTCTGTTTATTTCCTGGCCACATGAGACTGGCTCTGAAGTGGTTCAGTGGTTCTGGTTTCCTTCTGCCCATTCACATCACACAGAGTTCCCATGGCACAGCAAAAGCTTTTGGAGGACACTTACCAGCGTGAAAGAAGAGAAGATAGAAAACATTTCTGGAGCTCTTCATGGTGAAAATTCTGTGATCTGCGATTTTTTCAGCCTTCAGAACTCCCAGAGATCAAGGCTCCTGCAAGAGAGCTCTCTCCAGCCTGGTCTTAGGTGTAAATCAGCTGCATCCAATTGCTGATGCACTCTGTTCAACAACAAGCCCTGCTCACCTCGGCAGGCGTCACCTTGTAATGACCACAGGAAAAGAAAGCATTCCCCTCCTCACACTGCCTGTACACTTGGAAAAATACACCAGACCTGGAAATTGCAACATATCTCAGGCACCAATGAGGTCGCTACTGCCTTGGCACCACCCACAGAGTTCATTCAATAAACGGCTACACACCGGCACACAGGGGTGGGGCAGGGCTGTGGAACCACATCCTCACTGAGCTCTGTGCATTCCCTCTAGCTGGGGCTCAGGAAGCAGGAGGAGATTCAAGGTAAGTAGTTTATCTGGAAGAGTAGACAGCTACTTGATGCCACATTCTCAGCATTGTCACAAATTGCTTAAAGCCATCATCAGAAGCCCAGGCTCTAACAACAGCAAAGCCTGTACACTCTACAGGTGGTACAGCACATGCTAAGTGCACATTTCCTGAAATTTAATAGCAATTTTAATTCAGCTATAAAACAGCTGAATCATTCTGACTTATTTTAAGGTTTAAGAAAAGGCCCAGGAAGGATTCTCTCCAAGAAAATCAAAACTGCTGACAGTAGATTTGTTAAAAGCTGGTGTGAATTCTAGTGTAACCTTCACAGAGCAACCCTCATTTGTGCTGCCCTTTTATTAATTTCCTATTATTCAATGACCTGCAGCTGCCTGTAACACTTTGCTTAGATAAAAGTCATTGAGTGGTGCTCAGAAACAGAAGGGCTGTGTGGTGTGAGTCCTCACACCCAGGGAGGGCATGAGCCACACAGCTCTGTGCATCCCCACAGCCTGTATGGCCAGGAGTGTGGCAGGATCCTGCAGCACTCCTCAGCTACCTGACTGCAGGTGGGCAGGATGCTAGCTCTAACTCTAACCAGCACCTGTAAGGCAACAGCTGAGTCAATGCATTGCTATTTCAAGTTTAGAATTTAAAAAGAATATAAAATGATCCCCCCAGACTTTCTTCCCAAACAAAACCTTAAGGCTGAACTCTGATTCTTGGCTCCTTAGACAATCTGGAATTAATTGTCCCTTTGTTGTCTTAAGTGTTAAAGAATAACCTGGTGCCACTGGAGTATTTCCAAATGTTCTCAAGGACCCATTGCTCAGATCCTTCCTGTGCCCTTCCTACTGGCCAGATTAACATCTGAAGCCCTCTCTCCCTGATGTTTGCAGTAGGGCTTGCATTCATATACAGATGACAAGACTGACAGTCCTAGCATCAGCTGCTTAAGACTGCAAGGGCAGGAATAGTAAGACATGAATCTGGTACTAGGGCTCTCCTGTGGATCCTCTGTGGGAATGGTTCAGAAGGCAGAGGAGCAGCCTTTTTGTACAGGAGGTCTGTTCTAAACACTCTAAACAATCACAGGAGCACAGTTCACCAGAATTTAGATAATTTTCCTATTTCATTCTTAACTCTGAGTATCTGTGCTTTAAGGAGATATTAAATTTCTTAACCTAGTTTTCAGCACAATTCAGCAAAAATGCCAACAAGGAAATAATATAACTTACAATAATAATAGAGGGTAAGAAATACTTCATCAAGCATGTGTCTGTACAGCAATTACAAATAGTTGGTTTATCAGGCAAGAAGAAAACCCACTATGCCTTCACTGGGCCAGCAAAAGAGTGTTAATACATCAGTGTGATGCCATTTGCACTTCCTAATTACTCTAGGTGTTAAATTAGAAGCCTTTAGCAAAATACATGTGTTGTAAAATGTAACTCTAAAATACTGAAAAGCACACCCAAGAATCAAAAGATATATCAGCACCAGATGCTGGAAAAATAAGAGCCAGAGAAAATCTAAGTAATACAAAACCCTAACAATTACACAAGATAAGACAAGAAGGAGCAACAGGGCTATCAGATCAACTTTTCTGTCAGTGTTCAAAGGTAACATTGGAAACAAACAAAACTAAAAATGCAAAGCAAATACTCCAGAATCCTGTGGCATTTCTTGATCCAAGACTTGTTTTCACTCCCTCATGACAGCTTTGCAAGGGAACTGCTGTGGACTTCAGTCAGAGTGGAGTGTTTGGTGACACCTGGCTACTATAGGACAAGTGCCTGGGGGCAAAGTTTGGTGACAGCTACTCAGACACTCCAACATATGAAAGAGCAATTCCTCACAGACCTACTCAGCTGAACAGGCTCTGATGGGTTAAAAAAAGAGGTAAAAAGAAGGGTATACAATACAGAGATCTCAGATGTGTTTGCAGATTTGATAGAGATTCATATCCTTCTGGGGTTTTTTTAGATTTACTCTTTTAAGATGTCTCACAAGACACCTCAAACAATCAGTCACTTTGAAAAAGGGAGACAACAGTACACTTCTAGTTGCCTTAAAAAATTATGACATTATTTATCAAAAGCTGCCTCATCAATCCATTACACCATGCACTTTGATGGGCAGGAATTCTCAGAAAGGCAGCACACCTGATTTCCCAGATCTTGAAAACCAGAAACTCTGCTGGGGCATGCACCAGCAGCTTTAACTTCCTGTAAGCTGCACTAGCATCCCATGTAACATCAGCAATAATTGTGCCACAAGTTTAAATCTGCTTTTAATGCAGTAACTTCAGTAGCCCCAGTGTGGCCACCAATGTTTCTCTAACACCTGATTTTTGTTTACAGTCTTGGTCAATTATTCTAAAGTGCTACAACACTTGTATTTATCATAATTAAAAACACACTTGACAAATATATTGTACAATAAAGTTTATTAGCTGTTCTCCTCTTTCTAACAAATGGAATGGATAGTGTTGATAATTCTTTACAAACCAAAGCTGATTTGGTTGTGTGACTGCCCCATGACTGCCATAAGTACATCCCTCTAAAAAACAATCAGTTGCAAACAAGCAATGGCAGGTACCAAATAATACGGGAATTGGAGAATTTCATTATTGAAGGTTTTGGTACAACGTATTCAGAACATTCAGCACAGAAGTTTGTGCATTGCAAATGGAAGATCTTGTGCCTGTGCAATCCGAGACGAACATGTACAGAAAAAAAAATATATTGTTGGCTCTGAATTCTCCCTTTGGTTAAAACATGCATATTACAAAGGGGACAGGGGAAGACAAACACCCGGAATTGCGTAGAAAAGAGGAGAACTTGCATGTATTTTTTTCTTGTACTAATATTCCCTGGACTTCATGCCCAGCCATCACAGCCCATTTGATTTTTCCGTGATTAAGGAAGGTAAATTCTAATTTGGTTTTTTATTTTTATTCAAAACAAAAAGCTAGGAGTAGGTGGTAAAAGAAAAATATATATTTTATATATATATATTTATACGTGTGCGCAACTATGTAAAGAAAATAATTCCCATAGTTACAGAGTTTAGTTAAAGAAAGTTTAATATATATATATTTATTATAACAAAATAGGCAGTTATTGTGGGTAAAATATTCATTAAAATCTGACCCCTAAGAACACACACATTTTTAGGCTATGAATCATTCTCTCATTGCCCTAATGACCATCTCTGCAGCTGTTTTCTGAATTACTGCCAATGCAAATTTGGCATTCCTCTGAAAAATACAAGGTTTCCTAGCACCTAAACATATTTTTAGGTTCAAAAAGTGTGATGACCATTATCTATAAAGAATTTCTGCAACACACTATAAATAGTGTTTCATGAGGAAGATTAAAAACATTACACATCTTTGTCCCTAGCAATTTTATTGGCAAAAAATGAAAAAATAGATTATAAGAATATCCGTATGAAATTATGAAAATGAATATCCCTTTAAGAGTAGTAATGGGACTTAATGAAAATGCTAACTCAAAATTTAAAAGTTTCTTTCTAACTGCCTGGAAAGAAAAAAAGATACCATGACAATAGGATTGAACTCAGAAAATAAAACCTGAAATTGATTGCCCTGACCAAACCATGCTATTAAAGTTAAGCGTGCAAAGTTACTCATAATTTACAACTTCCTTGAATACAACTTTTCTTTCAATTGTTATGAAATTTTAAAAGAATGTCTATAAAGCTTTTTTGAAAAATCTTTGAAAGTTACTTTCCCTTAAACATTAAGGAATTTTACCCAGCAATTCCCTCCCACCCCCACCCTAAACTAATAGCTGGTCAGGCCATTCCACTGTCATGTTCGAAAAATGGCAAACCAACAACACACAATAATACAAATTATTTAAACTAAGAGAGACACCAAATGTAAAGCATTATGGGAACTGCAGAATGTGATGGTTAGGGTATGAACCACGCTGGAAGAACTAGAGGCAGGCTCCACTGGAAGGGCTTAAGAGTTGTCAGATGTAGTAGGTGATGTCAGTTAGAAAATGGAAAATAAAAATCTGTTTTCATAATTTTTCCTTTGCTGGAACCCAGATGTAAGGACCAGACTGTTCCTCTATGATCTGTTTCACTTGGTTGTAGATTTCTTCCAGAGTGTCTCCCTGGACAATAGCTGCAAAACATAATGTGGCAATCAGCAATCACCCCTCCTCGTTCCGTGCAGGAGCCAGGCTGCTCCTTGCCCTCAGAGTGCCACGAGGATTTCTGACTGCTGAAGGAACAGACACTCTTGGACACCCCTGGTTTCAGTGCTGAAGCACAGAGTGGTGCTGCAGGACACACAAAGCACCTCCTTGGGGACAGGGAACTTCCACTGTCCTACCAAGTATATACATGCAACTGAGGGGGTTTTTAACCTTTTCCTAGCTACACATTCCAATGTGCCTGAGTCAATTCACATCCTCCAGTATTCTTTTTGGCCCAACTTTCATTTGTGTTTCTAGCACAAAGCAGGACAGTGCAGGGCTGTGTCCTCACAGGCTGGTGAACTCCTCAGCTCTATCCTGGTGATAGCCTGCACAGCAAGGCAGGCTGACCTCGAGATGTCTACCCAGCTCTACCTTTGCTTTTGGCTAAAATAAGGAGGAACTCATGGAGTTTGTTGTCCAGACAAGAGATTCCAGTTTTATAGACAAGAGGCTTCCTTACACAGTTAAAAGCACAATCTATACTCATTCCTGTCATGTTGGTTGATGTGTTTTTGCCAAGGCTAGAAATTAACTAGAAATGAGCCAATATGGATGTGTTCTGACATATCAGAATAAAATATAGTCTGGTGAAAATGAAGATAAAGTTTGAGCTGTTCTTACCAACACTTCAGCCTGGAAGAGCAATCACTGCGAGATAGCAACTTATTTTTAATTAGTCTCACAATCTCAGCATCAATAATCCAAGTAGTAAAGTTTAGCATGAAAGACAGTTTTGGAGGCAGGTCAGACTCACTCTTCTGTGCTTTAATAGAGTAGTGCTGCATCTGAGCTTTGCTTTCATGTAAACTAGCTTCCTTTTATTCCTACCATTCCATTCTTGTCTCTTAAAACCTTCTCCCCATCTGCAGCTCAATGCTGTACTGCCTGTGGGAGGAGGCTGCTCCATTGTTATAGGCCAAGTATAATGTTCACAGAAGAACAGTGCATGAGAAAGAGTTAGAAATGTCTTTGCAAGGCAAATAGGCCATAAGCTTCAGCATCTTCTCTCCAGCTAAATTCAACCACACCTCTTTCAAACCTCAGTAACCTCAAAGCTGAAGTAGGATGTGCTTTTCATCTACTTCAGTATAAAGTTCAAGTTTGTGGAAACAGAACCTGCTGATGAAGTTGGAAAATGGCATTAAGTCCTAAGAGTTTTCAAAACCTAAATTAAGCTCCCAGTAAATTTTTGTTTATTTTTATATTAAATTAACTGATCAAAGTGAAATCAATGTAGAGATACTAAGATGGCTCTATACCTCAAAGTAATCACAGATCATCTGAAAAACAAAGCTCACTATCTCAGTGGTTAGGCAAGAACTATTTTTACAGCAAGCCATAAAATTTCAACTCTGGCAAGTGAGCAGTGACAAGGAGAACACACCTGTGAAGTGTTCAGTAAATTCTTGCTCCAGTTTCGTGGCTCTCTCAAATGTTTTCTTGGCTTGCTCTTCCGTTAAGCGTTTATTCATTTCCCTGAAAGTGCAAATATTATAGCTTTTTTAAGCCAATACAAAATACTTGGTGTCTTTAAGGTTTTAAACTGTTGTTTGAATATTAATCCTAATAAAAGGATTAAACCCCAAAGACTCCAAGCAAAGACTGTAGTGGAAATGAGCTGTTCTGGCATTATGTTGCATGGAATTTAACACAATGACATTTATTTTCAAGCCCTTTAGTTTGGATAAGAAGCCCCATCTTAAAGTCCCTAAAAATTAAACTCAGGGAATTAAATATGATTTAAAACACAAACATTACAATTGTCTGCATATAACTTGCACTTGGCTTTTCAAATACAACAGTCTCAAACAATTTAGCCTGAGGTACTTTACTTTTACTCACATGATATTTTCCACTGTTTTGGGTTTAATAAAAATGGAGATTGGGTACAGCTGGGCAATCTGCAACCTTTTGATCGCATTACCAGAAACATCAAGAATGCAATGTTTACCCTAAAAAGTGAGAGAGAAAGGAAAATGGCACTAAGAAAAGTTTAAGTCACAAGTAGCATAGCATAATAATTTAGAAGAGAAAACATGTCTCCACTGTAACCAAGAAAATGAGAGTATTTGCATCAACAATACTGTGATTTCACCACTTTGGCTCAAGGTCCCCCAGTCTCCTCCCCACATCATTTGAGATGTTCCTGACCCTTCTTTCTTCATTCCTTTCTTCATCACAGTTTGCAGCCCAATCAGCAATGCAGAACAGTGGAACAGCTGGACTTCAACCACATCACCAACATTTTTTATTTTGCTTTGTTTTGGTACTAATTTGAGGATACTTTAGGGAGGTGGCCATGTCACAGATGTGATTTAGAGAAGAGCCAGATGACTTAACTGGCATACCTGAGGGAGTGCCCACCCCTGCTGGCAGGGAAATGTGCCACCATATTCAGGTGGAACTGCAGAAAAGCCCTTTCCTCTCCCAGGTACCAGCCAGTAAAAATACCACATTGGAGATGGTGAAAGCAATTTATTTGTGTTGATTTATCATTCATCTCTTGAGAAACAAATATAACTTGACCATTCCTTGGGCAGCTGGAAGACAGCGTGGTAAAGCTGCTTTCCTCCCACTCTCTATTCTCCCTCTAAAAAGAATTTTCCAGCTTCATCTCAAAGGCTTCTCCTGTTCTCAGCTCCTTTCATCTAAGATATGCTCATTTCCACCTCACACATTTTTATTTCTTTCCTTTCTGAGTAGCATAGGATTAATTTTGCAGACTGTCATTTTAGAAAGCTACAGGGGAAGAGGAACAGAAAAGCACTCCTGGGTGACTACATTAAGAAAAGCTTTTTATCAGGACACCAATGTGCATTACAGAAATCTGTGAGCCAGGATACAAACCCACAAGTACCATATAACCAAGGGTTACTCATATCATACAACACCATTCCTGAACTCCTGGGAGATGATTCCTGGAAGAATGTCTGAAATTACTGACATGCTTCTGCTTCCTGGCAGAAGAAATCGCTAGGATCATTTACATTTGGTCTCTTTCCTAACAAAATCAGAATTTTACTTCAGGAATTTTTAAAGAGAAGCGTTCTTCCCACATGAACAATATGTATGTCTGTTTGCTTTCAGCTGATGGTAGCTGTTTCCCAGATGCAGTCCATGGGTCTGGATGCCAACTGGTAACATTTAAAAGAGGTGTCTGTATGTCCTAGCAGAGCATTTTACAGGCGCTGATCTGTCCACGTCTTTAAATGTGGCACATGCTCCCAGAGCTGAGAATTAAGAGCATTATTTGAAAAAGAAAAAAGGACCAAGTAAAACACTATTTGCTGTGTTTGGCCCAACAGTTTAAGCCAGGAGCCAAAGGGTGGAGGGCTAGAGAGCCAGCACAGTACCTGTGCTGGGATATATGGGATATAACCAAGACAGTTTATTCCAAATCAGCAATGAATATGCATTAACTGTGGCCTCGAGACACATATTTGCAAGCTGCTGATGATTCCAAAGGAAAGAAGATATGAAAAGTCTTTTCAAGTGAAGATGTGAAAGACAAGGAAAAGAAACCCAAGTACATCGTGCTACAAACATGTTTTTGTGCAGGGAAGCCACTTTGCTCTTTGCTCTAGAATAATATTTTATATTTTTAGTTCCTTAGTTGCACTGCATCTGATTGAGAAGCACTGCACAGCAGCCAGTGCCTTCTATAGCTGAACAAAAAGAAACATCAGAAAGCATCTTTAGCTGTGTCCATTGTGGGTAAGGAAATGAGAGAGACAGGGATCAGCTGGAAGCATGGGCAAATGAACACAACTGAAGGCTATTTTAGGAATACTGTTTCTGGTTCTTTTGGGGTAATAGCAGTCACTTCTGTTCTGTCTTCTCCTAAACTGATTGCAGAAAATTTGGAAATGATCTTTTGTATCCCAGCAATAAAACCCACTGAAAAGACTCATCTTTTCAGCAAGATGGAAAAGAATACAAGGATGGGAACAATTTCAGATCAACCAGTTTGCAGCCCTGTCATGATTTTGAAGTACAGTTCTGAAGGATAGGCCATTGTTTCCCAGAAAAACAGTGTCAGCTGCAACTAAAAAATTGCTGCATCTACCCAAAGTCCCATGGTGCCTATGCAAGAGATTTGACTGCATGGAGACATCTGCTAATACTTTGTTCTTTGTGTCCATTTATGAAAGATTCATAGCAATTTTGTACCTTACTAATCCCCACAGATGGACAAAAGAAGAGAGTCAATTTCAGGTCCAGGATGGAACTGAAGGATTGTATTTGTAAAGCAAATGCCAACAGATTTATAATGTTTAAGCTATTCAATAATTTCATCATTTAACCACAAATGATTGTTTCACAGCTTTGTTCAGCCTCCAATACAAAATGCTGTTCATTTACTTCAACAATTCTGTAATTAATATTATTTTCTTTCCTTTTCTCACTCTGTCCCATGGGCCCAGGTTCCATTTCTTATGGTGACAAAGACAGGAGAAGAAAACATCATTTGCCCCACAGAATCTCACTGTGTTTGCCCTGGTTTTGCTTCCAGTAAATTCAGTTGCCAGAAATAGCAATACTCATCCATTTGGTCAAAATGGGCTACAGAGTTTTCCAGAGGACTGAAGTGCAGCCCTGTGGGTTACTACCCACACTTACCCTCTGCATGTCCAGACTGACAGTGCCCCCACTTGGGAGTCCCCACCTAGAAAATAGCTGGCCCTTCTTTCATATAGATCAGAGAACATTGGCTTCTGTAGATGTACTGGATTTGTCACCAGCAGAACAACACTCATCAACTCAACATGGAACATTTGCAAAAAAAATTTCACCACATGATTTTCTTTAAGACAAGCACCTTATTCTCAGAAATACACTTCCCTTTTCCCACTTTTTTTTTCAGACAGATCAAGTCAACTTCAGTGAGACTTTAGAAATAATTAGAATTTGCAATAAATAGTTAATTCAAATCACTTTGGGATAGAAACAGCAAGGTTAATATTCAAAATATAATGGGTAGTTATAGAAAAAATACTTATAAAATTGAATTCTTTACATTTACTCTCTTCTCTTTGTTAGCTAAAACCATGAGGAGCCCAAAGAATAACATTTTTGTAAGTTTTCTTTTGCACAGGTCTATGTCAAGAGGATCCTCATATTAATTAACTGCACCAGCACTACTCTTCATTAGTTAATGATCTGTATATGTGAGCTAGGCTAATTAGCCTATAATTGCAGTTAATTCTTCTGTATTCTCTCTAAATAAGAGGGTTTACAACATTATGGTTGCTTTTTTCCCACAATTTAACCATGACGCTTTCATTATTCCAAAGCTTCATTATTTCCCTAAATGCATCTGTGACAATACACTTTATTTCTAGCCTTATACAAATTCCTTTAAAAGTCAGAATGCTCCTAATGGCTTCTTGCCATTCTTCTCTTTCTCCCTGTCAGCACAGGCACATAATCAGCTCAGCAAATGAAAGTAAGTGGCACTGATTTACCTTTTCTGCTACTTCCCGCACTGATTGGACACTTGTTCCATAGAGGTGATTATTGTACTGGCCAGCTTCAATGAATTTGTGATCCTGAATATCCTTCTCCATTTGCTCTCGAGAAGTGACAAAATGGTAATCACGTCCATCCACCTCATAATCTCGTTTTGGTCTAGTAGTATCTTTAAATATAAACCAGTAGTTTTAAAGCAAAACAAAAAACAGTGACTTTTTTTCTTACAATATCCAAAAAGCCTCCCACTTGTACTGCAAAATTGTTACAAAGAGATTGATATTAAGATAGGCCTATAAAGTTTAAACAATATATTAACTTTTTTTTTAACCCAACATACAGAGGATTTCTATAAAAAATTAGGAGAAAAATATAATCTAAAATTGCTTTAGTATTTGCTGAGACTTACGTGGAACACATGAGCCAAATTTGTCTGGAAATTCTGAGATCAGGTCATCATTTATTCTGTCTTTCATGGGTCCCAAAACAATCACAGGTCGAGTGTAACTGACTAATAAATATAAAGGAATAATGTCAGTTGTATTTCACATGACTGTTAAATTTTAAGAGTTCATCAAATTAAGCTCTCTCACATAGCAATGATTTTAATACTTAGAAGAATATGTACTTCTAAAGAGAATAGAAACACAGTGAAGAACATCAATCATAGTCATAGTAAGATGTTAGACTTTCACTCTCAAATTATCATTCTCAGTGATTGAAAATGAGTCTTAAATTATGAAGCCTTTGGGGAAAAAAAAAAAACCTTCTCACAAAGTAACATCCTAAATTCTAATGGAAAAATGAAAGAGGAGAGGTTTGAAAATCTTTTCAATTCAAAGAGGCACCTAAGCAGCAGCACCGTTCATAAAATTCTGTGTCTGTGTTGAGATAAGCTTCTTTTCCTCTAAGGCCACAATTAAGCTCTCACATACAAAATGACTCAAATATAAATAGTTTCTGTAACTATTAACACCCTTATAAAATTTAGTGTAGTACCTTTTGAAAGTAGTTTAATTATTTATAATAAAGGTATTTTGGTTGAAAAGTAAGTTTAAGCAGATTATGTCTAATCACACTGTAAGAACCTTTAAGACAATAATGCCTGAGTATCTTGCCACCATCATGTAATTTCAGCAGTACAAATTTTAATTTTAGGTTCAATCTGTCTGCACAAGTAAGTACCAATTAATTAAAATCTGGCCTATTAAATATATTTTCATTTGACTCAGAGCTATTTCCTTTCTATTGCATTACTATATTTGCAAGAGGAATGTCTTGAATCCAGTATCTATTAACTTATTAATTAAATAACAAACATCTCTGCTGTTTCTCCCTTTGTGAGCCCCTCTGATGAGGGGAAACCGTTCCACTGGAAATTAGTAAAAGGCAATTCTTTTAAATGCAAGTGTGAGAAAATATTTTCTCCTAGTGATTTCCATTTTATTAAATTTTACTTTTTTCTGAAAAAAATCCCTTGGCAATTATTAACCAAATTAGCCATATAAGAAAGCCATACAGAAATGGGAGACTGATTAGAGACATTTCAATTGAAGTTGGTAAATAGACAAATGAGCTATTCACATGCTTTTTGCTGTGCCAGAAATGCTAAAGCAATATGAAACAGAAGGAAACTATCATTTATGAGGTTCTCACTGACAAAGCTGTTAAGCATACTGTACTTTCCTTCCACAATATAAACCACACAAGAATTATTGAAGTAGCGCACCTTTGGATTCTGCACTAAATAATTCAGAGATTTTATTTAATAATTTACGCCTTTATAATTTATTAATTTGAATAACCATAAGTTTACACTTTAAAAGGGTGAAGAAGTTTATCCTGGTACTTAGTACATAAGGGCATGCAAAGCATTCTAACAATTCAGATTATTTCATACTGAGTGAGAGCTACAAACCTTCTTGTTGATTGACCGGTTCATATGACAACACATATTCCTCCTGGCCACCTAAAATGTAAAGGCAAAGACACATCAATGTATTTTTTTCCTAAAGGAACATATTTCAAGGGAGTCATTCCATGGACTATGATGATACAGACACTGCCCAGCAATATGCATTACAATGATGCTGATGAGGGACACCTTTTGAGAGCCATGAATTCTAGACCTCACAAAGCTAAGCCAAACACTGAGCTTTAAAGCATAAGACACAGAGAGTAGAAAGGAGTTCCTGGTGTAGCTGGCATGTCAAGCTGGCATCGAGCACAAGGAGAATTTCCAAGCATTGCTGAGGTGCTGCTCCCCACGAGTCCTGGATGCAATGCATGCATGCTGTCATTCACTGCTAGAGCAAAGCCTCCTGCAGTGGGATGCTCTCCACACTCTGAGGGCAGCATTTACAAGAACATTTTTCCATATTTACACGTGGCTGGCAAGCATGTATGGCAAGGTGAACAGATCCTCCATTAACTTTATTGTGAATTGGCATATCCATAAACATCTTCAGCCACTATAATTCTACCAAGAAAGCTATGAATGTGTATACTAAACAACTACTATTTTATAAATTAATTTTTAAAGACAAAGTTGAAAGCAAGTAATGCTTTGGATTGTTCTCAGCTCCAGGAAGCACATTAGCAGTGAATGAAACTAAAATAACAGAATCTTGAGTTTTGACAGCTGTAGGCATTGTAAATGTTAGTGAAAGCATTTGAAATATACCTCAGTTGCCATCTCTCTAAAAGACTGCTTCTAGTCTAACATTATATCTCTGAGTAAAATTAATTTTAATGAAATAACTAAAAATTAACTGTGACAGCAGAGAATTTATAATTCTGAAGGCACAAGCTCGAATTACATGACATTGCTTTGAACTGAAGAAAATACAGTCCTCCAATATTTCACTTGTCTAATTTTGGAACATTCTTTGATGCTCATAAGCCATACTTAAAACAGGCAAAGGAACATACCAAGGCTACACCACAGTTTATGTAGAAACAGAAGGCAGATGAAGGCTTTTATAAATGCATCTAGAGCTTCTATATATCTATTCTCTATTTAAAAGCAAATGCAAAAAGATATTTAAAATCTAAATATTACCATTTCATTAACAGAAATATTTTTCTTATTTTGCAATAAATTTGCATTCAAACTGTCCTACAGCAATACATGAAAGAAGACTTTAATTTCCTAAATTGTTGCAAGTGAGGAATACCTTAAGACAGACACAAAATCATGCAACCTGTACATTTTAATATCTCAAAAAGTTACTCATGCAAATGGATTTTAGGACAGTATATACTTTCAGAACCCTTTTTAGGCTAGGGAGAGGAACAGGGAATCACCAACTATCAACTCATCTATAAAAGATCCAGCTCACTAGAATTAGATACTTCTTTGGAGAAGTCACATTGCTAAAAGGTCAAAGAATAGTTATGCAAACTACTAAAGAGATAAGAACAAGTAAAAAGCATCCCCTGATTGAGGGCAAAAAGTATATATTGTCACTGCTTTTCAAGTCTTTGGAAAAATTAGTATTAATAGAATGAACCTTTTGAACAACCGTACTCATCTGTAATCAAGATAACTTTCATATTAGACAGCAGTAAGAAGAGATTAAAAGAATATTTTATTAAAAAGTGCTCAGAATTACACATTGAGACAAACAAATCCATGACATCCATAATAAAATCATGGCTTCTCAAGTAACAATAAAGTAAAAAATAGTAGTACCAATAACCAGCTTTAAATGTAAATAGCTAGCTCTCAGAAAAACCTTGGAAGTGAGGGAAGAGAGGGAAGCAGCAAATTTATGAAGAAACAGACATGGTTAGATAGTTTTAATAGTGTCCCATTAAAAACTATAAAAAATTCTGTTTATCAAAGGCAACTTCCATATGTGCTCAATTCTGTGTTATTCTCAGGGAACACAGATGCCTCCCTCAATTAGTTTCTTTTCAATTACAGTCTGCAACAACACCAGCCTTTTGCATACATGTATACACATTCTCTCCTTCATTGTCATCATCTGGAAGAAAATATGTGGCTCATTACCTCTGAAAAGATCAACAGCTAAACAAATATATCTGTTAATGAACCACCTTCCTTATCATCCTGACATAAATTAGGTATTTCTGCAGTGCCCATTACACAGCAGGCAGCCAGGAGCTGAGCACTGAACCATTGCATGACTTTCACTGCTCCTTCGTTTCATGTTTCTCTTCAAATCCTCCACTTTGCTATTGTCCTGCTCTGCTCTACCATGGCTTGCAGCTCTAGACTGCAGCCTTGCTGGGGAGCTGTTCTGGAAATGAATAGTGGGATTCCAGTCCTGGCTGTGGTTCCAGACATGGCGAAGCACAGCAGAGCAGCACCATGCAGCCTATTACCCACCATGAGCATGGAGTGCCACTGCAGCTGGGGTAACAGCAACCACTACTGGAGCTTGTGCTAGCAGTAAAAGCAAACTGAGTGTAGTATTTAGAAGACACTATGTCTCCAGGAAGAGAGAACTAGCATGCTGATTTATCAAAACTGACTCCAGCACTGAATATGTGTCGTATGCTTTGAAGACAGTTCATACTAAGCACCCACACTTGACAAAATAAATGAGCTGAAAGCAAGGGTAAATACATGTTTGCTTATCTGTACTTTCATTGAAGTATATACATATTAAATCTGAGTATCAGTTGTGAAAAACTTTAGATACTTATGGCATTATTTAATGGATTACACAGTTCGACTACAGTTCCAATATTAAGGCTCAGCTATATAAAATTATATTTGTCAGCGTTAAATTTACCTTTAAATTTAACAGCTTGTGTAATTTAAAAAAATTAGTGGATTCAAATTAAATTGAACTAAGAAAATCACCGACAACAATAAAAAATATCCATAATGGAGGTTTGCAGCGATTCTAGGGAGTTTTTTAAAAACAAAGACATGGAACAATTTGCAGTACTCCACCAAAAAGACAAATACAGATTTCACCTGAAGCTGACTGGGAAGTTCTATTTAACATGTAAATACCCAGAAAAGACAGACAAACAAAACCAAAGAAAGAGCTGCAAAACAAAGGCTCCAAAGAAACAAAGAACTTAAAAACACTTACGGTAACTACTTTCACTATCGCTGGCATTAGAGGTTACATGCTCTGAAATTGCAACACAATGGGAAAAAATAAGGAACATACACCAATGGCATGATTCAAACAGAAAGAAAATCAACAAAAAATAATCCAGATGAAAGACAATACTGATATCAAAGTACTGAAATCAATACATACTGCATTTAAAAGTTTTAACGTACTTCTCATAGCTCTCAGGATCAAGCTTAATTTCATATGAAAGGAATTGATGTTAATAAAAAGAAAAACATTAAATAGCACATAAAATAAGATTACAAGAAGTACACTAATTCATAATTCACATGTAACCCTGCAATTTTTAAGTTTTCACTTCAGGATGAATTTTGTTGTGTAAAAACCTTGGGATTATGCATTTCAACTTTTATGCAAGCAATTTATTGATTACATTTAGTGTCTTGTAGAGAAAATGCTGGATTATATTAGAGGAAATATAGTGCAGCATGTAACACAATTTGCATTAGGTGTGATAAGGCAGTTTTTAGAAGTCCGTGCTGAAAACAGACAAGAAACATGTTCTGTTTATAGAACAGAATCATCTAGAGATATTTCTGGACCATATTACATAGTTCAAACTAGGTATGATCATAAGGCCATAAAGGCTGCTTATGATTTTATGTTCCAAAGTATAAGGCCATAAATGTTGCTAAAGTTTTCCAGTCTAGACCAGGAATTCCTTTGCAAGTAGCCATTTCAGAATTGAGAAATGAATGTTACAGCTACTAGAATTTCTACTTCATGATTAAGGACAGGCACAGAAGTGCACTGGCCCTTACAAGTAATTTCACAAACACTTTACCACCTTACAGTTATGCCTTGGGAAGAAATGCTACCCCTAATGCCCCTTAGCCACATCCCCTTAGGGCAGAGACTCCTTACCCTATTGCATAAGTGCCTAACAGTGTATGTATTTAATATCTGTGATAAAAGCAAGGTCTTGGCTTTTTTTATTTGTCATTTTAATACATTTAGTGGTGGGGCATGTACACACAAACATTTCTGCCAAGAGTAGGCAGCAATACTTGAATCTGACTGGATTCAAATAGAAATACAAGAAGTGCTTCAAGTCACCCCTATCAGCCCTTCACCTGGTCTAAAAGCATCATAAGTGTTCAAAATAGAAAAACTCTCCTAGCATTTGTTAAGGAAAAGTTGTGTTTGCTTTAAGTAGCTGTAAACATCAGTAGCCTAGAGAGAGGAGTGAAAACTGTTACCAGTTAAAGTAGCACGGCAATGGTGGTACTATTACTGTAAAGAGCCATAAGGTTATTTTAAATAAATAAAAATACAAGGACATGATATAAGTAACATTAAAAAATAATCACCAAATTAAAAACACAGTACTGTTAAGGACAAACAAGAAAGCACTGGTAAGCTTCTGAAAACAAAAAAAAAACCATCTAATGTGACAGTCACATAAACTTTACATGTTCCTGAAAGCAAAAACTCCAAAAGATTACAAACTAGGAAAAGCTTATGAACCAGTTTTAGTTAACCTCCTTTTGCCAGTGGAGCACCAATCTCAAAGAGATCTGTCCAAAAAAAAAAGTAGTAATTTTTCAGATGGAGGTTAAAATAACTTGGGAGTATTTTGATCACTTACTCAGGCCTTTTGATCCCATGTCGTCAGGGACCTCCTGCAGAGTAGTCCCCAGAGGGCAAGCAATAAAAAGACAATCACAAAGAAAATAATTGTCAGTAATATATAAAATTGGCGCTACGACAGGAGACAGTTCCTAGAGCATCACAGGGAAAAATGAGTCCATAGAATTTGACTTGACTGGCACATGAAGTGCAATCAGTAATGCAAATGGCAGAGAACACAGTTTGTTTTGAACCTGCTCTGAATTAGCAAATTTATGCAACTCTGTTTTGAGAATACACTTTTTTTAACTGCTGGCAAGAACAATGAAAATCAGAGTAACCTCTCTTCATTAGGAAAATCAAATTAGAATGAATGCCTTTGATAAACCAGTCTAAAGGGACTGATTTGAGAAGCTGGTAAGCTCCATTATACTTTCATGATACTGTGCTTTCTCCTCCAAGTCACAAACAGGGCAGCATCACTGACAGCACTGGAAGGCAGCTATCTCCTCCAGTTAGCCAACAGTATTGCCCAGTTTATTCCAAACTGGGATACTCTTGTGTTAAGTTTGATTTTGACAGCAAACAAAGGTTTGCCCTGGTTTTGTAGCCTGGTTTGCCAGTGGCACCAGGAGCTCCTCAGCCTGTTGCAGCTCATGAAACTGTCTCCATGGTAACACCCTAGTGCAGTCTAGCAGGCCCTTCTACTGTGCTTCGCTCTCCATGGAATGCCACATACTTACGGTCAATATCACTGGTTTCCTGCTCACTCTGGTCCTTGTTCTTGTAGAAGGGAAATTTTCGGGAAAAGAGGTTCTTTTTACGCTTGTCATTGAATGACTGCTGAAGAAGAGAAGGAGGGGCAAAACAAAGGATGTCTAATGTCTGTGTGAACAAAGGCCCAGAGCAGCAGCTTTGCGGAAGCTGACTCCTACAACCACATTATGCAGTGCACATCTCAGCTCAACACTCATCTTCCCAGCTCATTAGAAACAGAGACTGGGATCATGGCTTTGCTTGGATCCTCCATGTTTCACATGCTTAGCAGTGAGAAAACTGGTTCATGCTATAGAGCCTGACCTGTATTTCACAAATAGGCGTGCTCTGAGTGTTAAAAAAAGTGGAAAACTAGGCTACTGTAAGATGGCCAAACCATAATGACTCAAAGTCAATTAAATCACTGATATTATCTCATTTAGGGGTTACAGTATTAAAAAAACCAACCAAAAAACCAAGCTGAGGCTTTTGCAAATGACTGATATTATAACAGAACATCAAAAGTATTGGGCAGTGTTACCATCCAACTAAAAAAAGTCCAAAACTTGTATCAGTGTTTTACTATTGCAATTCATTGCAAATTCACTGAAAGGACTTACTCTGTTCTATGTAATTTTGCATCCTAATACGAATATTAACTTGAAAAGACACCAGCTAATTTCTTTGGTTTATTGAGGCAATTATGTTTTTCAAGAGTGTACTTATAATTACCACATGAAAAACCCTGTATATCAAGGATCATGTTCAGCAACTTTTGACATTAACTGCTTGTGTTGCTGAAGAATTTCTGCATCTCAATTGCTACAAGCATTTCTAGAGTTACTTACATAGACATTTACATCCATATAAATATAAACTATTATTGTGCTGTTTGCTCAAGTGATGGAGAGCATCAATGCATTTTCATTCCTATATATGTATGTCTATATGTAATTAGCACAGATTTTACTAATAACTGCCATATCTTCAGCTGAAGACATCATGTGACTACAGCACCTTTAATTTCATGTTCCAAATCAATAAAAAAACTTAAAGTATAAATAAATCAGTAATGTTTTAATTGCAATTATGCCCAGAACTAGAGCTAATACAACTAACTTAAAATCAGCAGAAATTCCCTTCCATCTTTAGGCATGAGTGACTCATCTGACCAGTTTTGGAAAGACATAAAATTTGTTGTATTTTTGTCATTTGGTTAGCAGAAAAAAACTACAGTAGAAAGGATGGTAAAATAGGAAAACACCCAACTTGGTCTTGAGACCCTGTGCCATAGGCAACTATTTATTTCTAAGCCAAGCAGAGCCTATGTGCAGCAAGAAGTAAGAAAAGCACCACAGAAACATCTTTTAAAAGGTATGGTAAAATAAAATAATCATGCATTCAAGACTCTGTTAACAAGTGGTTCTAAAATTTGGAGCACGTTAGCTTTCAAATAATTGTTTGTCTTTCCTCAGCCAATGTGAGCTCACATTCCTCTGTTCCAGGCAATAGAGCTGCAGAAGGCATTTTATCCTTTCTACCAGCATCAGGTATGGAATGAATGACAGTAACAAGTAGGGGTCAAACAGGACAGAGTTTTTCAAATGATGAGCCACATTTTTTGGTACAATTGAAAACTAGCACTTGGCCTTCCTAAAGTGAAGGTCTACAGTTGTGCTCCTTTCCTACAGTGCAACACAAAAGCTGCATCCTGCTACAGGACTAACAATCCTTCTGGCCAGATGTGCTTGGCAATAGCAGATACTTAAACTTCCAGTGATATTTTCATTACCAATGTTTTAAAAAAATTACTTAAAATTAGAAGGTGTTAAAGAGGCACATGGTACCATGGGAGCACAATCAGTGCCATTGAGCTCTGGAAATAACAATACTGTGCTAAGGAGGAAATCCATAAAACCTTTAATTGCCTTGCATCTGTGTTCGACTAAAACTGTTATTCCACTGTAAAAATTGGTAAATTATCAGCCTGACACATAGACAAAAGATGAAGTTTCAAGCCAATCATATGCCTGCAGGAACCATACTTGGCACAGGCAGAATTTTATGTTATGGTCCTCCTGACCTTCTCTAACAGAAGTCACTGCAAATGATTTCTCACAACCAGGAAGGGTAATGTAATCTAGAGAACAAGGACAACAAATAAATATGTCCAAAGGAGATCCTTGCTGAGTATACTGAAAAATACTATAATGAGTTCAATTCAAAAAATAAAAGAACTCACATCTATAATTGTTTCATTTGGGCAAGTCTGTCAGTTTGGTAAAAGGAGACAAATGTGATAAAGCTAAAATGGTTCAGTGTAGCTGAGGTGGTGAGAATGGGGAATCTGTACAGTTAAAATTAAAGGACTAGCTGATTTATTGTGCTTCATAAAACATAATCAAGTTCTTCATTACAGTTGTGAAAATATTCCATAACAATTATTTTAACTTTCTTACAGTAAGTCTTCCTGACCTAATATGAAACTTTATATACTGCATGTATAATGGTCAGAGTCAGTTCCATTGCCAAAAAAAAGAGAAAATAAAAGTAATATTATACTGATTTTGCATAAAAGATTAGCCAAAAGATTTCTTTTAAAAGATATCATGATTATAAAAAGAAGGATTTGCTTATTAGTTGAAAACGCATAGTAATTGCATTAAATTTTTCATAAGCCCACTGGCAATCATTCACAGCCATTATAAGCAGGAATATATTAAATCAGAAGCAGCACAGAAAATGAGATAAATGTGTGTATGAAAGGAACAAACAAGAATAAAATGTAACCATTTTTGCTCCAGATTTTTTAGGTTTCCTTACAATGAAAGGAACATGGATTTTAATGTTAGCCATCACTAGGATTCTTCAAGGTCTTAATGTAGAAATTTTCAGAAACTGTATAAAATTGGTATTTCATCCTGTTTATGAAGAATTAGCACACACAGACACAGGAAGGCACATGGTCCATGAGGACATGTATGGTGCAGTCAACTTACTGGGAAAATACAGAAGGAATACTTCAAGGAGAAACTCTGATGTTAAAACATTTACAGCTGAAGCAAGAGACTGTGAACAGTGTAAGTGTTTGCAAAATGAAATGTTACTACAGAAAAGGAACTGCAGTTCTACATCAATGGCAAGCGTAGTTGCTTTTCCACTCAGTATTCCATGCATTTCTTGGTGCTCTGTTAGTACACAGGGACTGTGCACCAACTCTGCTTTTGTCAAAAAGCTACTTCAAACACATCAGTAATTAACTGTTTGCAGTTAATTGGTAGACACCCTCTAAAACCATGCAATTATCTTTCAAAGAACATGGTAGCATTTGAAAAATTCCTTAGTGTATTGAAAAGAATCTGAAGTATTTAAGCCTCTCTTTATATGACTTCTAAAAAGCAAACTCAAATTACCATGTCAGTTGATAATATTTTATTCCAATACCAAACTACAAAAGCACCAAAACAGAAAAATGCTGCCAATAATCCAGTAAATCTCCAGGGCAGTACCATAATTGTGAATCAGAAAGTAGTTAGAGATACTGATTTTCTTTTAAGCAAATACTTATAGGGGAAAAACATGACATTTCATTAATAACTGAAATCTTTGCCATGTAGCAGAGGGATATATATAGGAATTTTAGAGTCTTTATACTTTGCAGTCCTACACTATCAGGATATAATACTGAAGCTTTACTATTTGATGTATGTGATTTCTGAAGTTATGAAAACATTGTATGTGAAATAAATTACTAAAATGCACTTGTGGGATTTACAATAATGAGTAACCAATGCTACAGCATTAGTGCCATTAAAAATATAATCACTATTTCAAAAATAGCTTCCTCAGGAGCTTAAAGCACACTTCAGATTTTTTGAAATGGTAATATATTATTAATTTAAAAGACTCTTACATCTCAAATGCACAGGCCTGAGTCTTGAAATTACTAGTCACATACTACTGGTAGAAATGATAAGGTTGTGGAATTGTTTCTCAAATTTCAGAACAGCCAAAACATTGCAAAAAAGCCTCACCCTCAAAACAATAAAAAAATTTGGCTGCTGTGCCATTATGAAATGGCTATAATTTTGGCTACAAACATTCCTATTTACTACCTAAGTAGCCTCACTACTCATTCCCATCACATGTACTGTGACAGAAATCACATCTGGTGCAGAGCTGTTAGAAATGGCACAATTCAATACTTGGTAAGGATATAGAGCTCCTGCTGCATTAGAGTATTAAGAAGCATATATATTTGTGTGCTAATCCTTTAAACAATTTGCAGTGTTTTGGCAATTAAAGTCTGCTTTGGTGCTCAGAATTATTTCATTTCTATTTGATAGAATTTACTCTTTTCACTCAAATCTGAAAGTGATTCTCCACACACAAAACCACTGAAAAACGTTACCATACACAATGCCAGGTGTAATTAGCACTAAATTAACTCACCCCTTTATCTCCTCTTGTTTTGGAATTGAATTTCACTGTCTTTAAACGAGCTCGTTCTTTTTTCTCAACTCTGCCACAAAAACACACACAAAAATGTCAGAAATCAGCAACACTCCAGAACTTCAAGTTAGCTCTTGTTACAGCAGAAGCATACTGGTGTACCTTTGGTTGGACCTATTTTATTGCTTATGACACTTTCAGAAAATGGAAGCCTGCTAATGGAAAACTGTCATTTCTCAAGTGATGCTCTGTGGAATTATTTGGAAGTATATTATTTGGAATTATGTGGAAGTATTTTGTGGCTATACATGTTCAATAAATCCAGAGAATGCAAAGAGGAAACACAATATAGTAAGTGAACAGCCTCAATTATCGATCAATAGCAGATCGTAAGATTCAGAGCACCTAAACTCTTATTTGAGTCTCCAGTATGCCAACAAAAACCTCATCTCCATTGGCTACCAAAGAATGTTCTTCCAGTTTTCCATGTTCTGGGTAGAAAGAATTCATGATAGTGTCATGACTTGAATAAAATTCATTCACACTTTGCACCTTTTCATATATAAATGGTTAATTATCTGATATTAAACCCACAGCTTACAGTGAGAACAGAGGTTCTCAGATGTGGACCACCTTTATTAACTTCAGCACACAACTCCTAGGGCTACATGGGGTTTTAATAAAGGTTTCATTGAGTAAATGAGAATCCTACTACAGATTACTTAAAAACAAAAGAATCAAACAAGTGGCTGATGTGGTACAGAATTAACAAGAAAGAGAAAAGCATATACAATATTTATATTAGTCAGATCAGATGTTTCATAGCAGACATTTCCAAGTCAATGAAGTAAGCCATACCTCCGTTTGCTTGGGATAACTCCAATTTCATCACTTTCTCCATCTGGAGTTACCTGTCGTGCTTGCCACCATTCATCATCAGAAGCATTAATGACGTGGAGAATATCACCAAATTTGAAGTTCAATCCTTGACTTGGGAGGCCACTGTCTTTAGTCTTGTCATAATCAAAAAGAGCTCTACATTGGAAAGAAAGAATTAAACATATAAAAAAAAGCAAAAAATATCCAGGAGACTATGAATAGCACAAAATATGAAGCAAGCTGCCTGTAGTATTCATAAATGATGGCATCATTCTGACAGGTACTTACAAGAAGGCTGAACACACTCTCATACACGCACAGAATGTGTAGCACAGTACCCCCAGACACTTCTAAGCTTTAATCAATGAGAAAAAACTTGATCCAGAGCAAACCTTTAGTGCTTTACAAAACCTCTACAGGAGACACCTACTGCAATTCAGTAAGTACTTTGCACAGAGCAAGTTACATGTCAGCCTAGGATAAAAACGACAAGTAAGTATTTAAAGCATAGAGCACAGTCAAAAGTTCTGTAAAATACACTTCCATATCAAGTTATAAATTTAAATTTAGTAATTTAGTACAGTTTAGTACTGTCTTTAAAATAAAAGTCAGTATCGTCAGTTCACTGGAAAAAAAACCTTAGAAATATATCTGCTCACCACTTTGTACTGTAGTACCCAAAGGCAGAGAACCTTATGCACATTCTTTTAGGAATTTCCTGACCATTTTGAGAGAATCTCACCCTTTTTCCTAAGGTAAGCCTGTTTTCAAATAAAAGGCACTCACAATACCTGAGCAGCAGCTGCATGACTTGACTACAGTTTTATTAACATTCCCTCTGGCAGCAAGACTGGTTTATGCAACTGACTCCTGTTCCCCTTTTTGCTTAAGAAAGCACAGTTGTCTGGAAAGGCACATGGTCCACCATGATATGGAACTGATCTGGTTTACAAGTCATATCTTTTCTGCCTTTTGGATCATTTTATACCTGGACAAGTTCCCTGAGGAAATGAAGATATCTGCAGTCTGTTTCTCCCTAGCACAGCTGAGGGTTTAATGAGGATGTGGAAATGAAAGATGACAGGAGTCTCTTGGCAAACAGCAAGAGATACTGCTCAGGTTCTGCTTTCTGAAGGACTTCTTTTACATTTGAAAATAGTTCATGAACCTCACCTATGTGAAATAAATGCTTGTATGACACAGTCCAAAAAATCCTCAACATTATTTAATCTCCCAGCTCATGTGTTGTCACTGCTGCACTTTCTGAACAATACCTGAATTCAACTTACTCGATACCAAGCCAAAGTAGTACCAAGAGATCACACTGTGATGATTTAAAAGGGTGTAATTTTCCTTGTCCAAATTCAGCTTGTTTCTTCATTCTGAACACTGGTCTTACATACCTTTTTCTGCTAGATTTTTAATATCACAGAATGTCAAAACCTGTTTGTTCCAAAATGTACTTCAGCTTTGTGAATTTTGCCTCCTCAAGCACTGAGTGATCTGTATGTGTTCATAACCAATAACAAGTTGTTTACAGGGAAAAAACTCAAAATATTCTCTTATACCAATTCATTTTCACCATCTATTGCAAAACCAGAGCCACTTAAGACAACATACCTTTCTTAGGCTATAAAATATTTTTTTAAAAAATCCTAAAGGATTAAAGGGTTTAATAAAGATTTTTAGAATGTCTAAAAAAAGACAGAAATTTTTAAATGGCTTCAAAATATTGAAGAATCTTATACTCAAATCTGTAGTACCGTTAGTTTAAGTTTATAACGAAATTCAGACCTTCAATTTTGAAATACCTTGGAGGTTGAAATACCACTTTCCTTAGCAGTGCAACCTTCATACTAAGATATTTTGGGTTAATTCCACAGCATACTTCAGATAGATATCCTGATTCTTTTTAAAAAAATCAGAATGCTTTTTTTTTTTTTCATAACCAAAATATTGCAGGTAAGAAAAGGATACAGATGGGAAGTAGCTATTCCTCCACATTTATTCTGCACGGTTGTTCAAGAAACACTCTGGACAAATATCATTTCATATCTCAAAATAAACTGCACATAATCCAGTATGTACTTTCAGTGCAGATTCAAGTTGTATACATTTTCACTGAATTAATTACATACATCGTGACATTTATTTCCTGAGATTTCTTGTTAGCATTCAAGCAATGATTTCTACCAGCTCCACTTTTTACTTCTATTTTTGAGTTTGCATATAAATTTATAAAAGCTGTGAGCTTGGCCTAACAGCATTAACATATATGTTGACTGCATGAGAAAAGATGCTCAGGAGTGAAATGGAAGCAGAAATGGATAAAGCCATTATTGCCAACATTTGCTTTTCCCACAAGATAAATGGTTACACAGAGCAGGTTTTGCACAATTAAAGGCAGTTTCATCAAACACATTTTCTCTGGTAAAGTCACTTCAAGAAAAATAATTTTATTGGGAAAAAAAGTCAAAGCTGATGAAAGTAGTTGTATAAAAAGATCATTTAGGGTGTCACATAATAGTGACAAAACTATGCAGCTAACATTTATAGGAATACCAGGAACTGCTAATGATCCTGTAAATGACCTCAAAAGCAAACAGAATTAACAAGAATTTCTTTTGATTCCAAGTGACTAACATGGCTTTTCCTGTATGCCTGGCACATCATCAACCAAGAAGTCACTTCACAGCCCAAATGATGCATTTATCAACAACATAGAATATAAAAAATACAGTTCTATTAACTTCCTGCATGGGGACTTTCATTACAGATTAAAAATACCATGTATACATTTACTTATTGTAAGTTATAAACACAAATTAACTTAAAAATAAATTTAGCAATCCTCATCAACTACTGCTTTCAATGCAGATCCATGATATTTACTGTAAAGTTCTATTTAAGTTTAAATGGGAAGTCTTAAAAAATATTTTCTAGAGAAAGCACCAAGTCCTCCTTTTTATTTCACTTTGTATTACTCAGGAACCAAAGAGCACTAAAAAGGTGTCTCAGCTCCTTCATCCACAAGTCTAGAGAAATTGAAATTAAGTTGCATATTTCATGAGTGTTTATGCTTCAAAGCCAAAGATGTAATGGCTGTGTAACAATGCCAAATTTTCCAGAGTATCTTTTTACCTGCCACACTCATTACTTTCAGTGTCATAGGCTGTTGACCAAATTCTACCAAAGCATTTCTTCCATAAACAAAGCAACCAGGAATTCCTTCAGCAAAAGCAGCTCTATGTTTCATTTCATTAAAAATTAATTAATTTTACCACTTCACAATAAATGAAGGTCAGCTTGTAAAGGAGGTTCTCTTTTTCTGAGTTTTTGGGAAAGTTGTTTGAAACTTACTGTTTGAACTCTGAGAATACCATAAAGAAGGCCCAATTAAGCAGCAGACAAGTACACTTAGCCTGCTGCTAATAGCAGATCTTATTTTTCCAAAGGACTTAGGTAAAATTTCTTAGTCATTGTAAAACTGTTACATTTCTTCAACTTGGAGACATAATCATTTTTGCTGTGATTCAAGCACAAATCAGTGCCATTGTTTGAATTTGGAATGTATTGTGCTGATCAGAAAAACGCACAGAGGTAAATGTAATTTTTGATTTGGAATGCTGCACACATTGCAGACTGAGACTTGCCACAGAAGATGAGATTAAATATGGAACAGATTTACTCTCTCTCCATGTGTTATCACAGAAACCTGGTACCATGAAGGTATCTCACATATGCTTTTTGAATCTCCAGGTGAGCATATATATCTATATAGATATAGATCAGATGCAAACCCAGAACCATTCTGAGAGAATCTATCTCAGAACAAAGACCAGAAGAAACATAAAGCAAAATAAAAGAAGACACATCAGTACATCTGAATGAGCAGGGGACAGGGGGAGTGGTGTGGGGGGGAACAGTAGGACGTGCAAATGGAGAGTCAGCTGCTGCTGAATTGCTCTATTTGGATTGCCCTCCAAGGGCTGTTTTCCAAATTGCTGTGCATCATTTTTTGATATAGATACAATTACAAAGAAAAATCTGCCATTTTACTCCAAATTGTATTTTTGGGCAAACACAATTGCCTTTTCCTTAATATTACATAATACCAAAAAATGCTGTTTACAGGCAGACTAGTTTTAAAGATATCATGTTTACAGGGATACAATGATCTGATTTTATTTCCTAATTTGATTTTGAGAAAGCAGCAGAGATGATTTTCATGGTATTTTTATTTAATAGCTTTTCTGAAATTGTGATTGAATGCCTATAAACATTTTACTGGTGGATTTACCATTCAATTCAGCATTTTGTTACATAACTGGCATCCTTTAAGGCATATCCAAAACCCAGCACTATTGAAAAAAGATAACTGAAGTTATTAAAGTTGGCTTTGAATTTAATTAAAAGTACAGTATGACTATACCACAGTGACTTATAATAAGAAATAAAGTGGGTAAGTAACATGTTCTGTCAGTATCTAGCAATATGTGAAAATATTCATAAAAGTTACTTCAATGGGGTCAAAATTACATCAGAAACAAGACAGAACAGATGAGAACCCTTTCTGTGCATACTAAGCTGCCTCCCAGTATTTGGCAGCCTTTGGTGTGATGACACAAGCAGATCCCAAAAGCCCTAGCAGCACCCTCTGTAAAGGGATGTGGGTAGAAAAGTACTTTTGTTGGGAAAGTTTTGCATTTTAGATATTTGCACTGACTTATACCAACACTGAATATTGAGCCTCAAAAACTTTCAGTGAAACCAGTCCCCACATGCCAGCAGCCTGGAGAAGGCTGCAAGTTCTGCAGCAGCTGGCAAAGTCAAAAGCTCAGCAACTTCCATCAGTGGAATTAAAGCTACATAAAGAGAAACTGCTTGTCAGTGGGTCAAAATATCAGATGTGTGAACATGAGCAGAAGCAGTTTAGAACCTAATCAGGCTATAGCTAACCAAGAAAATAAAAGCATTTGGAATTGTTTGGGCTTAGGTATTTGATGAGAGCTAAAGCAATAGATCTTGGGATTATGGAAATGAAGATCTTGGCACAATATCCATATGGACATTTATCTACCTGTGGAAATTCAAAGATATGGATAACTGTGGTATCAAGCACTTACCCTTATTATTTAGAGCATTTATTTTTAGAGATTTAAATTTTGACCCCCAAAATATTTAAGGCAAACAGAAGTAGAAAAAAAAAGTAGGCTCAGATCTGAGAAAACAGAATCCAGCTGCTGAAACAGTAGGTCAAAACACAGAAACTACCTGTTAGAGGTAAACTAGCTAAACAAGCTAAACAGAAGCCCTGTGAGTATTTAGCTACATTTGTGTCAAGCATTCAGAAATAGTTACAAAGGACAGTGACTTTCCTCAGCATCAGTGCAATTACCAAGAGGCTACTGACTCAATCCAGAGATGAGCTGATTTGAAGAACCCAAAACCCAATTTATTTTTAAAAATGCAATCCTTTTACCCACGTTCCATACTTGAAACATTATGCTTTATCAGTACACGATAAGCAATGTAGGAGTTGAGTGACACATGAATAAGCTGCACCCTGCCATAATTTCCTTGTGAAACCACCTATTTTCTCATCTGCTTCATGCTCTTATGTTTCCACTTCCTTTCAGCCTCCTTAATGTTTAATTTGATATGAATAAATTAATGAGTTATACTCAGTTCATGTGCTTTGCATTTTCTCTCTTGGTTACCATGGAAAAATATTCCACAACAAAATTCAATCAGATAGAGAAGTAAGGTCCTTTATTAAAGCCAAGAAAACAACTAAAGTAAGCTGAAGGAAATAAGATGGAAATCTGTCAAACCTTAAGAAAGAGAAGACTATAAATTTGAACTCAAGTACTGAACAAGGGAGAATATGAAGACTGCTGTCACAAAACCACAAACTGATCTAAGCAAGTTTTCAAGACTTCACATACACTGACTTAAAGAAGAAATCTATGTTTTTGCTGAAGGATTGTCATCTCTCTCAAATCAAAGGACAAAAAGCAAACAATAGCACCATTCTTCAAAGTTCATATAGAATTCTCAGGGATATTACTACTTTTTCAGCTATATTACATTAATCAGTCTAAATACAGCTTTATTTTTATTATATTTGCATATAAGTATCCCTTTATTAATACTTGGTAAATAATTGTACGAAAACCAAATACCAAAAGAGTAAGTCTAGAGAAAGCAGAAAAACCCAGGAGCAATGCCATGAAAAAGATGATTACCTGACATAGAGGGATCTCTTCTGGCTGGTTCGCAAAGATCCTGATCCTGAGCTAATGCTACTGTTCATCATCTGCTCCCGTAAATCATGGATTTTAGCTTCAAAACGACTGTATTCTGTAACAAAGACAGGCATGCCAATTCATTTCCTGCCAAACTTCAGCAATTAAACTGAAAGAAAATCTGAAATTATTTTGATTAGACAAAGAAAATATACAGGAATATTATACTTCGAAGTTCTGTTATCATAATCTATAGTTCACAGTAACTATTTTTTTCAAATTAAGACAAACATTTCTACTAATAATTATCAACTTCATAGTAATACAAAGGCAGTTACAGATTAATTTTAACCCATGACAGAAAGGAAACTTCGGAACTTATATGTGAAATACACGTTTATAACCAAGAACCACATTTTTTAAATTTTAAATGTTAAGAAATAGAAATGAAAAATGTCTGTACTTCAAAATGACTGGATTTGATTGAGATAAAGAATTTAACACTACAAGGTGGGAAATATGCAAAACATCTTCTGAAATAAGACCATATTCCTCTGGAAGCTCAGGAAAGGAAAAAAAAATATCCAGAATTCTGGCATGAATTTCAATCCACTTGTAAATGGCATTAGAGATTCAAATTGCCCCCAAAGAATTATGTCCAATGTTAATCCTGGAAAAACGGATTGTGTTCTTAAGCAGCACTGTGTACTAATAAAACTATGCTAAATGCATTTGATTTCAGCTACAAAGGCAGCCAGGAAAACAGTAATTGCTTCTTCAGGCCAAACATCTCCTGAAGTGAGGTACTTACATGCCGTCAGCACAAAATACGAACTCAGAGCAAATAAGTTTTTCCTTCAGCTGAATAGTTTGGACTTCAGGATCAACAAATCCACTTGTAAACCCTTGCTAGTCAAAGGAAATGTTGTGCAGCCACCACCTTCCCCAGGAGACCACGTGATGCCAGATTATAACAAGCCAACACTGGCAGAGCCAGGGCGTGTGTGCCGCGAGCAGCTGCTGGACCGGGCACTGAGCTCTCTCCTGAGCTGCGCCCTCACTCCCTGTGGGCACCAGGTTATTCAGGAAGTGCATGACTGAGAAAGGACTCTAAAATAAAAAATCTTGAGAAAATGTCCAAACTAAGGTTCCTTCAACAGCCATCTAAAAACTGTGAATGTTTTATCATATTATGTTCTGCAGCCCTTTCTCCCCACATACTCATACAGTAAGCACCAATAGCATCTATAATTAACCCTATCCAGATTATGACAATATGAACAGTCTCTTCAATAACCCGAACTTTTGTCCTTTATAAGCAAAAGTCAGTAGCTTTTAAGATACCCTAGTTTTTAAAATAGCACCAAGTGTCTGTTTACAAGTGAAGTTCAGATCAAACACTTTACCAGCACTAAAGCAAACTGCTGAGGTTGTTTGGCAAGAGAATCAAAACCATTATTTCCACCACTACTGATGCTATCACTAATAACAAAAGAATGTGAGATAACAGGACAGTAACCAAAGAGGAATGTGAGAAAACAACATTTTTTAGAAAGCAGCATTCTTTAAGGGGAAGGGCTCAGATGCAGTGAGAGACCAGCCCATTCCTGCTGTGCTACTGCTGCCCTGCAGGGCCTTGGGTAAGTCACCTCATTTTACTCATTTGTAACCAAGAAACTATAAACCTAAAAGATTTTTGTATGCCCCTGTGTGAAAGCAAAGTAAGCATGGAAAAGATGAGATAATCCCAGTGTCTTGTGCTACAGCCTGTTCAATACTAAAAATATCTGCAGCCCTTTGTAATAGCTACTGGAAAAAATACAAATTTCTGTATCGTGTGATTTTATCGAAGAATCAGACTTCCTCCTATGAAGCACACAGATATAAGAGAGCTACCAGGGAGGCTATTTCCCAGTATTGCTTGACTCTATCCTATATTTCATCTGCAGGTTGCTGGTCTTGTAGCTTCCTGAATTAATTTAATTTTTCTCATCAGAACTCCTGGGAAGTAAGTGCTGAATGAGTGACAGGGACATCTGTAGGAGTAAGGAGGAGAATAATTTCACCACAGAGGCTCCTGCCATATGAATAAAGCAAAAAAAGGAAACTAATGGGCTGGGACTGAGAAGGCTTTATGTTCAAAAAGAAGGAGTGCCAAGAAATTTCATATTTAGGAGAAGCTTAAGCACTGTGCAGTCAGAATCTGGTACGCTCTACTGATGTAGAGCTAGCTAAAATTTGAGTTACTTTCCTCTTAACAGAAGGTTTTGGGAGGAACAGGATGAATAGAAATCTCACCATCATTTGGTTTGGAGCTAAAAAGTACACAGGCTTTTAAAAAAAGAAACCTTAGTATTAGGTATAGTGCTACTGAAACTAATGCTGGAGACAGAAAATAAAACAGCAGCAGGACTCTTGATAGCACCAGAAAAGCAGTGTTAGTCTGAAACCCAAAGGATCAGCACCTGTGCCCTGTTGACAAAGTAGGGTTGGTTCAACATCAGCTTTAGGAAGCAAAGTGTGAGCTCTGCTCATTTATCTAGAAGGGGTTATAATTTGTCTAGGACAGGTTCTATTTCTATCTCTGTGATTAAGAAGAGTTGGATATCAAGTGTCTTTTGCATCTTCAATCTCATACTTTCCTTCAGCTTATCATGTCTAGATTCTCATAAATCTAAACAACTATTTTCTTTACAATGCCTTTCTTTCTTGGCATAATATATGCATAATAGCCATATATAGTGTATGACAAATTTGATATTTGTTCCCCTAAATCACAGTGAACAACACAGGAAACCCCACCTGGCTGCGACAAAATCATACAATGCACATATAAATATTTAACTTTTAAAGAAAGTTTTGTCATGTCAACATTCCAGAAATTTAGAGCTGCAACAGGCACAGTGAACAAGATGAAAAGGACACTCTGCTTTCTTGGTCAACAGGAAATGAAGAGCTTGGCAGGGAAGGAATGCATTTGATTTCTGGTGTAGTGTTATCAGGGTAACAGAAAAAGCATAAGCTGTTTAAATGAAAAAGTAAAAGTGATTTTAACCCAAATGAAGCAGGCTGGCCACTGGAAATGAGTGACAGGGACATCTGTAGGAGTAAGGAGGAGAACTCCATCTACAAATATGCTTCCAATTTCCACAGCCATCAAAACAATGAGATTCTGAAATACTGTTTTAATAAGAACTATGGTGGTACATAGAAACACAGACACCCACACAAAAAGAAATTCAAAACCAAAAGAAAACTACACAATCCAACCTCTCAATACTTTCAGTAAGAATTTGGTCAGGCTCCAAAACCAGATGTAAATGCAACAGCAGTGAATGAAATCTCACTCAGAATCAACCTTTAAGGTCTTAATTTTAGGAAAGCTGCCACTGATATACATCAAATAAAGGATAACAGGCAGCAAAACTACCACAAAAGACAATAAAATAAGAGCATTAGAGTAAGGGCATCTTTTCTTGACTAGAATTTTCTTAAAGTTCCCAGGAAGTTTAGAGGCAGGGAGGGAACATTACTGACATAGCAGCGAGATCGGGGAAACACAGGCACCTCCTGCTTCAATTCATGGCATTTATCCAAGAGAACCCCACCATCACCAAAGGAAAAAACCCAAAGCCTACTCAGGTTGACACATAATCAGTTGTTAAGAACAGAGGATGAATACATCTGGGCTCAAGTTTAAACTTTAAAATTACACTGGATAAGCAGATGGTGCAAAACTAGACTAAATCTGCTCTATATCTGCATGTATTCCACAGCAAGAAACAAAAAGGAGGGAAGATTAGCAAATCCTAGAAGATTACTCTGACTCCAAGCTGCTAAAGTGATTTTACCTACAAGTTTGTAATATTTTTAGTGTCAGTATTTACTTGAACAGAAAATCAGAACTCCAGAAAGGATCTGATCAGTGAAACTCTCCTGGACTGCCCATCTCATGGGCAACAAAACACAGACCCACAGAAAAATTGGCTGTGCAGGCAGGGGAAGAGGAAAACACGGCTGCAATGGAAATGCATCTGGTCTGGAACACACATTCTAGCAATTGGGCAGGAGAGCAGAAGGCTGCAAAGGGATGGGAACTCAGCACACAGCACAGGAGGAGCAGGGACTGAAGGAAGCAGGGATGTGCACACAGGGAACAGATGGCAGAGACTCTTACATACAGTGAACCCACGTAGAGCTGAGAAAGTTCACTTTCATTAAAAAAGTATGCCCCTTGCTTCCCTCTTCCCATCTGTCTGTGGAAAGCCCTCTTTAGCAGGGCCTACTGGATCTGTCTAAGCAGGACTCTTGTGCTGACAATTTTATATAACTACTGATTTATAGTCTTTTCTCAACTTGCAGAATATTCAATTTTCCTTTTCATGGTGCCTCCAAAGAGAGAAATGGAGTCTGGTTGTTAGGATGGCCACCATCATACTGATCCTGTATTGACCTTCCATTTTTCTTTTAAAATGCATGGACCACAATAAAAATATCATAAATCATTTTTGAGGAGATATTTTGCTGCAATGTTTGGTCATTTGATATGAACATTGCCAGAGACACACCAGAATGAATTCCACATGCTGTTGGTGACTTTCATATACTCTAATGTTTAATGAGGTTGTATCTTATTAATCACTTGAAAGACTGTGCCAAGGATTTTCAAAAGATTAGAAAAACTGCATTTGTATTTAGTTAAGAACACCTCCCACACACCCTGGAAAACTCAGAAAGAGACTAGGTCCAGTCACTGCTGAGGTGAATCCACTAAAAATGTTGCTGAAGGCTTAGCAAGCATTCACAAGCAATTTTATTTAGTGTATTAAAGAGTAGGAGTGAGGTTTTAAAAGATTAAAACATGTGTAAGCCGCCTTACAGTGACTATCAGGGCTATATATAGCAAAACCCTTTTCCTAATCTTAATGGGTCCAGTTTTGAAAAGACTCTAATTGACTAATCTAGATTACTTGCAAATGAGTAGAACCAGGAACAAAACAAGCAAGAAGAGAAACCTGGAAAACCAGGGACCACGTACCCAAAAACAAGGCAAACCTTTTTTGAGGTATTTTTTTTAAGAATTTTTCATGTTATTAAATCTGGATGCACTGATCTTTTGAACCACCTTTATTTAAGAAAATCCATGTCCTCATCTAGATAGCAGGGGAATCTCAGCCTCGATAAAAAACAATTACTGAAAATTAAGTTTTGCACAAGCATTACTGGCTTCATGCTACCCCAGCTAGGCTTTTGCAGACAGAAGATGTACAATATATTTCAAGATTAAAGCTCAGAAAACAGTCTTAGCTTATACATACAGAAATAGCACCATTTTCCAGAGCTTAGTTATTCTCTTTTGAATTACATAAATGCAGCATTGCAAATAGAAAAATCAGCCACGCACTGGCCAATGAGCAGAGCTCTAACAAAATTTTTCTGTTTCCTCCTTTTTTTTTCTTTTGAGTCATTTGTTTTAAAGACAGGAGAGAATGAAGAAAACACAGTTTCCATGAATAAAACTGAAAGAATATGTGTTAACTACCTATATGAATAATGTAGGTTCAGAAACAGATGCTTTACAAAAATACTTTGAAATCTTCTCTTGATGTTTTGGTTCCACCTTCTCCTAATCTTACACTGATCCACCAGATCACCTAAGAACATGAAGCTAATCTGATCACTTAAACATCTTACCACGTTCAGAAAATAAATTATAATTTTATTTTTGGTGTCATGTGAATCCTTGGGAAACAGAAAGGGCTGGTATCGTTTTCTTTCATGACAGGCTTATCTGAATTTTGCCCTGCTTTGGGCTTTGGGGAAAGATGAGTGAATGACTGCTGATGCTAACAGACTTGGCCTGCTGCCTTCTTCAAGGCCCTCCAAGAGCAGGGCTCACAGTTTACATAACTGCAGTTAATGTTGTCCACATCAGCTCAGTTCTGATCTTGCAGAGTATATCTACAATAGAAAGCTTAACCCACTAAATAATTTTCTATCCAATTTCAATCAAATATATTTTCATATTTTTAATATATTTGTTTGGTTATTCTATTATTTTTAAACATTTAAATACATTCAAACTATAATACAGGTATGGCAGCCCACTGGCACCTCATACCTTTTTGGAATGGCAAAATCTAACTTTCCAGAGATTCTGAACTGTGAGGCAACATTATTATTACATTTCAGATGACCTTTTCATTTGAATGAATGTAACAATGGGTATCAATGTGAAACACAGAGCCCTCCCAGAACTGTAATCCTGTGCAGTCCCACACTCCCCCCTTGCTGCTCCTGCCCTCACTACATTCTCTTCAGGCACTCAGGTTGCTGTGTCCCTGCTATGCAGCCCCATCACACTGCTGACCATCCTGAATCCCCACTGCCAGGAGATACACATACATCCAAATTGCTCACTGCTTCCTCTCATTCCTCTGCACCAACATTGCAATTCTGCCTTGCCATCCTGGCTCTGCAGGAACCCAGAGACACAGCAGTGTGGCACTGAGGTGTCTGCAGAGCCAGGGAGCAACAGGAAAATTAAATGGATCGGAAGCCACTGAATCAAAATGGCTTAAAAAAACAATTTTGTGTACTGAAGCAACATTTCTTGCTTTGAAACTGCCCCAGGTCACAGTATTTCTTTTCCAGTTAAATTCACAGTAAAGCAAAATCCCTTTTTATTCATGAGTGATGTCTTGAAAGGAGGTAGGAATTTGTAGTACCAGCAAAGGAGTAAGGAAAAGCTTCCAAATAAAGATGAAAATGAGAACAACATCCTGACTTCCCAACCACACTTCTACAGGATAATCCCTGTTTCACAAACTCTTGCTCATCTCCTGCTATAGATCCCCCTGCAGCATCCAGGGGACCCTACAGGTCCAAACCCACTGATGTGTCCAACAGGGAGATTCTGTATGACACCCATGACATCCATGTACCACAGAAGGATGCACCAGCACAACCCAACAGGTGACCAGTTTCAACATTAGCTCCAGGCAAGTTGCAAGATAAAACCTGGAGTCTACAAGGAGAAAGTCTGAGGTCAATTGAGTGCAATTATGGGGGTGCCTGATGCCTGAGCCACTTCTGTAAACAGCACAACACACTCACATTCCATGTTTGGCTTTTACCTGTCCCAAGGAGAGCTGGCAAGCTGCTGAAATTTAATTCAGTGGAGTAGAAAAACTTTTTAGGGCATCCCTCAAATTTACTGAACACTCTTGGAAACTAAAGGGATGCTCAGAAAGACATTTGAAAGAATGTAAAAATGTTTCATAACCAAGGAACATTGTGGAGATTTAAGGGAAAGGAAATTCAGTGGTTACATAATTTAAACCCAAATTCAATAAAATCAATTTCATTCAGTCATAATAGCCTACCCCAAATCCAGTAATTGGGAGTTTAGTTACCATGGATTTGAAGAGAGAGACATGGAAAATTGAAGCCTTTGCATGAGAAGAGTTTTCCAGTGATTCATTTTTCTACAGCCTAACTCAGGCTTTCCTATGGGAAAACTGCTTGCAAAAATCCTCTTTTCTCAAAAATAGGAGGAGAAAGACAAATGGGAATTTATGATGGGAAAATAGGAAATGTGATAGGATGTAAAACCATAAATTAGCATTCCCCACCACATCTATGAACACACAAACTGTCACATACAATAACAGGGAGTGAAGTGAGCCAGTCCCAAGTGTCTTCCAAATGCTCCTATCATACTGAATCTCTTTACTTAGTTATAATAAACTCTGATGGATGTCTAGAATCTCCTTGATCTGTCCTAGCTGTCAGCATCTTTTACAAAATCCTGCTGGATTCATAAATATAAATAAAATACATGTGCAATACAAGCAGTTATAACTGATGCTCTCCATCTTCATGAAGACATTTGAGAAACACCAATAATGAACAACAACTTTATGAATATTTTAATACCTGTTAACCTGTTTCCAAATGGCAGAAATAAAAAATGAGGATAATTATAAAAACACACACATACACATTTATTCATAAAAAGTTGACAACACTGAAGAGCCATGCAGAGGACAGACCAAATGTCTATGAACGGAAATATTTGAATATTTGACAATTCTAACACAAAGCCAAAGCAAATATTTCAGAGCCAATGCTGACCTTACTGTTCTTTTTAAAAGGCAGCCTCAGAGTGAGCACTGTTAGAAAATGAATCCTGGACCACAGCAATGTACAGATGGAATATGTGACCAAGATACAGCCCCTGAGACAATACAGGCATTGGCAACACGGGCTGGCTGCAGGGATTTGACCAGGAAGCAGAAAAACCAATCATTTGGCCTTAGTATGAACAGAGTTCCTGGGTCAGGGCAGAGATGTGATGTTGATGCAGGTGGTGGGGTTGGGGAATATGAAAGCTAATGCTTCAAACATTTGAGTTAGTCAGGATGGGAAAAACATGACAGAAAAGAAGAAATAAAGAACAACTAAAGTGTGCTGCTGTCAGCCACCTAACAGATGAAGGCAGCAGTCCTGCTCCATGTCCACTCCTGATGGACACTGACACTTACCCCTTGACAGTACTGCTAAAGGAAAGTTTCAAACACACAAGTCTCTGCAAAGAAGATGCAGTGCTGGGCCAACCAATTTAGCAAAATTGGAGAAATTTGCTGATCATCACAGCTCATAAAACAACAAAAATGTCTTAGTATATGTAACACCAATAATAGATGAGTTTACAGACTCAAGCATTTCATTTTAGACTATTAAATTGTTAAAGTTTCAAATAGAGGTATTTAAAATGTGCTGCAGAAATACAAGAGGACAAATATGTCTATTGATGATGTAGTGTTCTGCAGAACACACAAGGATAGTCAATCAGCATCAGCTGCAGTCTAATTTGAACCAGAGGAAACTGCTGGATAAATAGAAATAACATCTCAGTGTGAAACCAAGGAATGAAAACCTGATGGCCTCCATAGGTCATCTGAATCAACACCACAAAGAAGGAATTAGTCTTATATCTTCCTACTATTAAAGCCTATAAAACCACCATATTAAAGCATGAAGACAATTGGAAATATGAAAGAACAATAGGGTATTTCTATTAAATTCTGGATTTACTGGATTAATTTTCATGTTATGACAGTGGCAATATTTACTGAAGAAACAGAAATTCTGCAGTGGTGAAAGCAAGAAATGTAGCAAGCCATGGCAGCAACACTTGCAGATATTCCAATCTGGTCACTTGCAATTATGCTAACATGTATGTGACAACATCCATGACATTATTTGTTTCAGAAGAGGTGTTTGCTGGAAGGACACTGTAGATTATCTTTCTCTGAGTTTCAAGTTGTACAAGAGAACTTGAATGTACAAAGCAGCCCTTACCTTCTGGACGGTACTGAGCTACAATAGTCACTGCCTGGCCTGCGTTCTTCAGGGCTGCTGCTGCCTGTTCATGGGTTGCTGATTTTAGATCTACTCCATTTACCTACAAGTAATACAAAAAAGCCCTTTATCAAAATTAATGCTTGTGTTTATCACCACAGAACACACACCTGTGGAAAAAAATTAACTGGATACAAACTAGTTTCCATGCCATGTGTATTTCCCCTGTTCCCAACCTTGTTCCTCAAATCAAAAGTCAATAAAATCCTCTCTCACATATACTCCTCTTAAGAATTAATGAGACTATCACAGTATAACAGTGAATATATCAGTGAATGTTCAATTTTCTTCTTGGTTTTAAGAGTGCTTTTTTTCCTTTTACAGAGAAAGGGAGAATGTTACTTTTTGTGATGGTTCAGGGACCCTCTTAGCCAAATAATGCCTACAGACCATGCTGTCACCACACCCAGTGACAGGCAACACCCTCTGTGAATCTGGCATTGTTTTCAATGCAGCAGATTTAAAAATAGTCTCACCAAAAAAAATGAAGCAGAAATGTGTGTTCCACATTTTATACCAAGAGCAGTTTTCAGAGCTCAAACTAAAATAAAGATGTGCTTTAACACCAGTTTTAGTAACAGCTGTAAAAAGGACATCATTCCTCTTAAATAACTCCCAAAATACAATGTAATTGTTCAAATAAATGATTCTCTATAAATTAAGTAATTTCACAAAGAAACACAAAATATTTATGACCTTAACAGTAGTATAGAAGAAGCCCTTAGAGAGGTATGAGATGGAACTTTTTAAGACTAACAGGAGGTTCAGCAGCTACTCCAGGAAGCAAAGACCCAGTTTTAGACACTGCAGCCAAGTGTCTCCATCTCATTAGAAGGGTTATTTCTGAAACCTGTATTCTTTCAATTGAGACACAGCCCTCAGGTACAAGACCAAGATAAGTTCATGTCTTCATTGAATGTCTCAAAGAGGGGAGTGCTATTTTAATCAGGTTATAGATGAGAAACTGAGGCAGACTAAAGTCCTCAAAGGTAGCTTGGAAGTATATTGGCACCTGTTCCATTATCTCAAATTTAGCTCAGTTAATAACATTTTTTGCATATCATTAATTGGTATTAATATGCAGGGAGGGGGAAACTTTTATTGCTGTTTAAATAAAAGAAACAAAGAATCCTACAGAAATGATACGATCTCCTTTCCTAAGCTCTCCACTCAGGTCAGCTGGCCCTCCTGCAAGGATGAAAGAGATGAAAATTCCTTCTCCATCTTCTCCTCCAACAATGTTGAAACCAAGACCTGTTGATCCTCGATGTAGGACAACCTTTCTAGGCTCCCTGGAGGAAAAGAAAGAAATATGAAATCTTAGTCACTAGATATGAGTAAAAGTAAAATAAACAATTAGAAAAGCTCCTAGATGCAAAACAAAATCCCCTCCCTGTTGTTAGGTGAACTGAACAAATCTGTAAGTATGTACATATGTATAAATAAATATATAAATAAATTCCTATTATGCTACAATCCTATTCAGCACTAAATGTCATTACTTAATATTTTCCATATTGTTTAAGAAGATCAATATAGGTTGGGACATTTCAGATACAATTTTCAAATTTAGCAAAGCAACTGCAATTGAAGAAGTTAAACTAAACCAAGTTGTTGCACTTTTTTTCACAGGATCCCCTCCTAACTTGGATGAGGGGAGGAAAGAAAAAATATTGATAAAGCCAGTCAAATTCTAATGCAGAAAGACTCCTTCCAAAAATCTATTATCCACTACTCAATTTATTACAAGCAAAGTATAAATGGTCTCAGAAAAAGACATTTCTAATAAAGCAGAAAAACTGTGCACTGCATTTCAAAAATCACTAGAGAGCACTAAAGAACAATTAACGGACATTAGGTATTTAGAGGTATTAATTATTGATTTAAAGGATAAAGTAAGAAGCTGCTTTCTTTTCCAAAACAAAAAGTATCCTCTAGTCCAATCTTTAAAAGTCACTCAATTTTTGCACTAACTATCAAATCATCTTAAGGTCAATTTCTTTAATTTCACCTCCATTAACTATTATATCCATTTTTTTAAGAGTACTATTCTATTACAAATAAATTACATTGTGAAAATCTCTATACATATTGCTCTGGATCACACCAATACATTAACAAAAACAGAAGAGAAAAGAAAAAGATGCAGTATCTTTAATAAAAACACAAAATTTATAAATCTCTTTTTGGGATGGAGAGTGTAATATGAGAAGGTAAGTTAAAGAAAATCTAAACATTTTCTGAATAGGCCTTACATTTTAGAAGAAATCTAAAAGCTGCCTTTTACATTAATTTTAAAGGAAAGCAATAAAACCATAATGATATCAACAGGACAGAATAATTTTGGCTTATATATCTACCTAGCCCTAAGTTAAAAATCAGTACAAAGACATATCCTACCTTCCACTACACTAAAATCAATTCTCCAGCTTATTATGCCACTTAGGTTCCAATCCTGGGTGGACCCTGCCTCGGAATCTGAGTGACATTAGCCATATCAGATGATGGTGTGACACAGAATTCAGCAACAGCATACTGAAAGTGCAGTGTAACATCCCTATACTTGCAGAACAGAAGGGCAACAAAATTACAAGAGCTTCCCTTTATCATCAATGATGAACAAAAGATTAATTCAATCTACTGAATCAGTGAAGGAATGAAAGGTCTCTTAATGGGGAAGGATTAAGAGCTCTCCAGCCCTTCTGGATTTAGAATCCATCAAAACAAACCCTTGTCTGTGGGGGCAGGGAGGACCCACACACTGCTTACTTTAAAATAAGAAAATCTCTGGTCTGCTCATATTCCCATCCTAAAAGTCTCTGTCAATGCATGCAGCATTTCTAGGGCTTGCTGCTTTTAATGCTATTCTTGGACCAATAAATAAAGAGTGTGTGTGTATATATATACACATATAAATATACATAGTTTTATCCTTACAACAATGTTTACAAGAGTTAAAAAACTAACATCTATTTCTTGAAATAAAATATAGCATTCCCTAGTATTTTGCCCACTATCACATTTGGGAGCTCCCCTGGTTAATCAATCTGACACTTAGCTTTGGTTGTTCATTACCTGGTGATCTCATCATCTCCAAGCATTCCCTTGGGAACTGGTGAGTATCTCCCTGGGGATGCTGGGGGCAGGGCCTGTCCCAGGTAGGCAGATGGGCTGATATGGTTATCCACTGGCTGAGAATAAGCTTCACAGAGGGGGAAGGAAAACAAGAAAAGACATTAGGATAATACCAAAAAAAGAGCTGGAGGAAATGAAACCAAGAGGTGACCTCTTTTACAAACAAACCATAGCAGTTGAAATGATATATTATAAATATCATAGTTCTAAAATAGCTTGTTAAATCTATACATTCTCCAGTCTCCTCATTAAGTCAGAAAGCAATTTTTTCAGTTTCATTGTGTCTCAAATAAAACTTTTTAAAAAACAGTTACTGTGGATAGTTGAAGCCCATAGGAACAGTCTGGAGATTTATCTGTTTTAAAGCTGTTTTTAACTTGACTGAAGCAAAGTTTTAACTGAACCACAACACACATACCAGAAGAAATTTAGCATCTTAATGATTACAATTGATGGAAAATCTTCTACAACACCAGGAGAATTGTTCCAATAAATAATTAAGAAGGTGCATGATATTTCCAAGTTAGGCACATCCATTTTAAGTGCTCATTAAGGCACAGTCATACCCACAGTTTGCTATTACAAAGAATGTTCTACAATTGGAAATGGCTTTTTCCTGGCGTACGTGCTTCAAACTTTGAGGCTTAAACATGAAGGGTGGGGACTCTTCACAGATTCAGTATTATTAAAGCTGCCAGACTCTTTGCCCTTACTTGCTGTATCTGATGGGGTAGCTGACCTTTGAGGATTTATAGAAACCCAAAGCTCTTTAACTGAACATACATGACACAGATTGATGAAGCAATCTGCACATTCTCCTTTTGTTTTTTCCTTTTAAGACATTCTACAAAAGTTTGGATCATATACAAACTTATCAAGAGTAGTCTTGATATATATATATACACACATGATATATTTGCTATTTATATACATATATTCCAAACCACCCAATCTGGGCTAGATTGTGCCTGTATTGTTCTAGATTCCTAGTAAACCTGTGTGCAGTAAATTCTTCACGTGGCATCATATGCATCAGGACAACAATGCCAACATTTCAGCAAGCATTAAAATCCACTATTAACAGCTTCAGCAGTTGAAAAGCACACACATTTTGCTTAAAACAAAATCACACAAATACAGTTATTTTGTTTTTTCTCAAAAAATTTTAAAGCTAAAGCACAAAAAACTAAATGTGAGACATGAGCTCTTTTCCAGCTACAGGAAAATGGGTGTTGATTAAAAAACCTGAACAACTGTTGCAAGTATAGCAGCTCTGTACATTCTATTCCTGCACTAAATTATCTCATTCCACAAAATGAATTTGAAATTGCTTTTAACAAGCCAATGGTATTCGTAATGATGCATATTTTATAGGAAAAGATTAGATACAAATTCTATATTCATTGGCTTACAGTACTTCTCATTTGACTGTTTTTCAGGTTCTTGCAGCTTTTAACTGCACTGTGTTCAGAAACATACACATCACCTATTACATGTCCTTATTTTTTTAAATTTTTTATCCTTTCACCCTATGACTAAAAGTCAGCTATTGATCAATATAACAGTTTATTATTTCAGACCTGTGGACAGTCCCACAAGAGCACTGGCTGCATCCTTCCTAAAATATTACATGTGCTACTTTCTTGGAACAGTCTGGTCCTTTCTCAGTGGTGCTCTCAGTGCTCTGAAAGCAAACCTCTAAAGGCACAAAGAGGCTGCTCTCTGTGGAGCTCCTGCACTAAACCAAGTCTGCACCTCTCCTGAAACTGCCTCAGATGGAAATTATAGCCAAAGCATTTTCATGAAGAACGTGACAGAAATAAAAGGCAAACCATTACTTTTTGAATCCTAAATGAGGTCTAAACTTCTATTTCCAGGTAAATATTATAACTGATGGAATAGATAAAGGAGCTGTATTTTGGATGAACAGAAAACTGCATGCATAAAATCAACTTGCTTCGACAGGAAAAGTCAGACTCTTAAGAAGAAATTCCATTTCCAAATCCACCCTCTCCTTTATATAAGACAGTTATAGACAAAAAGAAAAAATGGAAGATTTCCTATTATTTTCCTATTTCCTGTAAACTGAGGACACCAACCACAAGTATAATTTCTAAAATGGGCAATACAATTAAAACTTTATTGTCTTTTACTGCTATTACATATTCTTCTCTTCCTGTACTTAGGACATTTAAGAAATGATAAGGCATCCATGTCTAGTGAACACATGGATGCCTTATCATCCCTCCCTTGCAATATTTTATTTCCCAATGCAGGGTGGAAATACTGTACCAACACACAAAAGCACAAAAATACTTTGACATGAATTAGGAGTCAAAAATGCATCACTGATAATGTCTTCAAAGGAGGCCTGTATTGGAAGCAGTCCTCTCTCTCAAAAAACCATTTAGCCACTTTCAAATTCTGAATTTGTACTTTTGAATTAACTACCTAGTCCACAGAAGTTAGCACAGTGAGCAATCTATGGCATGTTCTGCACAGTACCAAGTACTGTGCACTGTGCTTTTAGAGATTTCTGATAAAATGAGAATTTAAAAAAACACCAAAACAAGCAAAAACCAACAAAACAAACAAAAAACACCCCAGAAATAAAATAAGCAAACAAAAAGCCCTCCCAAGCGTTCTGTAAGTGAGCAGTTCACAAATAATAGAGTTTCTACCTTAACACCACTTGTAGTAGACATGTTCACAGGCAGCCTCTGTGCACATCTTACTTCTCCTTTGTGGTAGGACTGAATTCCTAAGAACCTGGCTAAAAGGATTCTCATGGACAGAAATAGGAAGGAGGATTGCAAATACATGTCTCAAAAGAGCTGCAGATGAGTAGGTGAAGAAAGAAGCTTGGTAAATGTTTCAAGACTGACTCACAATCCAGATGATCCTAGAAAATACCTCTTTAATTTCTGCCAACTGGTAAAAGCACTTCAGAATCCTCAGTCTAAAGCTCTTGAGCCCTGTACTGCTCTGCTAAATGCAGTATAAAATACTACATACAGGTGCCACCATTTTTTGGTAGGAGTTCCATCTAACTGTGCAGTCTCTTGCAGAAAGCAGAGGCTTTCTGGTTGCAAAAGCAGAATCAGCCTTTGAGGAGACTGATGTCTCCCTTTGAGATTTCCACTGTAAATGTGCAAATACTGAGAGGTACTGGAAAAGCTTTTGTTTGCCCTGTATTAGAAAAATAGCATTTAGCTCAGAAACACACAGTTGTGTTTTGTAAGTGAAAGACTGAGGAAAAGACTAAACTGATTTCCTGGAATTAAGTCATTAAACACCTCAGTAAGACCTCTGGGTCTGCTTTGGGTTCAAAATTCCAGCAGCAGGTTCAGTCTCCTCACCAGCTGCAATAACAGCCAGCAGCACTTTGATCAACAGAGACAGAAGCTCATAGACCTTTGAGTAGAAAAGGCTTTCCTGTTGTAAGGAAAAGAAACAGACTGAAGTTTCATCAAAGAACCCAGCACTTGGCAGAGGAATGTTCTTTGGTCTACCAGAAACAGTGAAAAACACAGTATCTTCAGATAGAGAACTCAAGGGAACTGTAGCTAAATGAAATAAAACTCAGAAAATCTACTCAAAAGTACAGACAGCCCACAAACCTTGTCAAGGGTCATTAAAAGACAAAGAGAGACAAGATGCTGGGAATCTGAGAAAAACTTCCATGACTTTTCTTCAGAATACTTGAGAATACTTGAGTTGGAGGAGAAAGGTTCCCAGAAGCAGCTGCTGGAGCTTGAGGCACATGACAGGGTCAGGAGACTGGCTTTTCTCTTCTCAGTAAAAGCAAAGAAATACACTTCCCACAAAGGATGGGATACTGGGCTGCACAGAATGCCAGCATCTCTCAAATCATCCTTAGAGGGAGAGCAAACAGAGAGAAACTCTGGAGGAAAGATGGCAATAGGACAAAAGGAGCCACATGTGTGACCAGGCCATTTATCTCTGGTAATGGATGTGACACCAAGTCACACTTACTGAGAAATTAGGACTCATGGCAAGGTGGCAGAGGACATCCTCATGGCAGCCATGTGGGATTACCCTTGACAGAACCTCCCTGATCTCTCCAGCCACTGGACATGCTGAGAAGGTATTCTTGAAGAAGGCACTCTCTTATGGATCTGTGTTATCATGCACTTGCCTTCAATGAACTGAGCCTCCAGTTCATCCACCATTTGAGAGAAATGAATATCTCTGCATGACAAGAGGTCCAACAACCAACAGCCACCTTTGCCACTGTCATAGATTTATCAGCACTGGGCAAATTACCAAAAGTCAGCTCCTTCTCTGCCTTCCTCCCCTCAAACTTTCTACAGGTTTTGTCTTTGACCCCACAAAAGATTAACATAAATATTCCAATGATTGAGTCAAGATGCAGTAGTAAGAGATGAGATACTTCAATGTTTGTCACATCCCAATCCACAGCAGTGTAACTGCATTACTGCAACATTACCAGGAACATTAGGTAAAAATCAGATTTCTCTTTTCCAAAAAATATGAATTCTAGATGAAATATATGAAAAAACCAGTTATATGGAGAGAGAACAGGAAGTCTACTTTCCAAGGAAACAGTGGGAAAGGTTATTGAACAAACTAGATACAGTAAGGGAAAATGGCTGCTCTCTAATCATAAAATATATGAACAGAACTGGGGAAGAATCAGTGGAGGCTGAAAATTAGATATGTCAAAGAATGGAGCCTTCCAGAGCATACCTCTAATAACACAGTGGAGATAAAACCTAATTAGCTCCAAATTGCAATTCAATAACCTTACAAATACATTTTAAGATACTGTAGCTATTGCCAATAAATGATGGGCTTATAAGGTACTTCAGTCTCTGTTGTGCTGCACTTTAGCTTCTTGTTCTTTACATACTGCTGTCAATTACATCTGTCAGTCCCAAAGTGTTCCTTTCTTTCCTATGAAGTAGTACCTAAACAAATCAGTGCTACATATCAATTGCACATATCTAATGGCAGGAAACAAAGCAATACCTAAAATAAGTCTCCCCTAGAACCATTTCATGTGACAACATGAGTAAAACTGGTCATCCAGAAAAGTCAGCCTATTCAGTCTTGGAAATATGCAGTTATATCATTATCTTCCATTTCTCCAGCCACTAAAAGGTAATAACCCTCTTAAGTGTACTGATCTCAAATATTTCTTTACATTGTAGTTCAACCCTGAACTTTCTGGATTTGTATATTTGACTTTGAAAATACTCTTGTCAGTAATACCCTTATGTCAAAAAGAAATTCTTGTAACTACTTTTTAATACAGCATTCACTGGTTTTCCATTCAAATTGTCAATAATTATGTCAAAACTGAAGTCAGATTTCAAGTAAACTTATTGACATAGAATTTTTTAATACATTCACAGGAAGGCACCAGAGCAAGAACTCCTCCCTGTTCAGTTTATTCAAGTATATTCAAGTTCAAGCAAAACCAGGAAAACAGGAAAAACATCAGAGCATCACCAACCTCTTAGTTTACAGGACACTGAATTCCCTCACAGTGCACTACTTTCTACTCTTCACACCCCAAGAGCATAAGACACTTGTTCTCTCCCCTTTTACTCATCAGCAAGTGATGAGCAACACTGAGTGTCTGGGACTGGGCCATGACAGCCACAGAAACACACCTGGAGCCCTGCTGCTGCTGTCTTTTTAGTATATAAGCTATAGGATGTTGTTTGTATAGTATATAATTTTCCTCATTATTCAACTTATATCAGATTTTTACCTCATGTAATTTTTTTATGCTTGCAACAGGTGAAATACTAAAAATGAGATATGTTAATGCCTTAAAGGGAAAATTAATTAAATCAGAAAGATAAGATGAACTTACAGTTTGTGATGTCAGGAGGGGCATAACTGTCATTCATGAACATGCTGGTGGGTTTTGCAACCTTCAGATAAACAAAGTCAGATGTGTTTTTTAAGGCAGTCACTGCTTCTTCATGAGTAACTTCTTCTAAGCAAACACTGTTGACCTGAAGAGAAAAACAAACATTCTTAACCCAGAAAAATGTACTGTTTTCATAGGACACTCACTGAAGGCTGTTGGAACACTGGCATTGAGAGTCTTTCTTAGGACTCATGTGCCACAGACACACCTGGTTACATGAAATTATAGAAGAGATGCCTTGTTAAGCATGAGAAGGACAGGTATTTGTACCAAGGATTATTATAAACTGTATTGACCACAACATGTTAAAGAAGGCACACATGACTTTGGGGAGGTAATGGGACAAATAGGAAACTCAAAATGCAATAAGTGTGCACACTTACACAGTGTGTTACTGCAAGCATTACACAGAGAGAAGTTACTTCTAATAAGAATAAACCCCACATCAACTTGTCATGACATAATTATGTTCTAGATCTTATAACAGGACAATATATTCAGGCATGATGTCAAAAAGCAGGGGTCAGAACTTGAGAAAGTCCCAGAATAACTGATTTACATGCCAAGTAACAAGAACTAGCTCAACTACAAACAGCAACTATTTTAAACTATAGTTATTTGAGTGAAACACTAGCACTTCCATTAAAAAAATTCCTTATTGTGAAAGGAAAGAAACTTCTGCAGATAATTCCAGACAACAAAGCAAATAAAGCTTGTTCTGCACTAAACCCAAGGGGCTAAAGACACTTTCATAATTTAACTTAATGTGTAAGAACAACCAAGCTTTCTCAATTGTTAATTGTGGGTGGAAAACTCTATTCCCTGCATCTGTATTCTCTAAGTTTCCTACAAGTTTTCTAGAAGTCTTTTGCTGATATATTTTTAATAGATTTTAATTCCTACCACTCTTGAAGACTGAAAAGTCATTTTGCAGTATTTGGTAAGTGTAGTACAACTTAAACACAGAGATAGAAAGTTACATTCTGCAATGTATGGTTGTGGCTCTCATTTTTCTATCTGGATGAAAAATTTGTGGATTGAGTTTCAGGAAGTTGAAAGGTTTTTTTTTTCTTTGTGCATAGAAAAATTCAACTTTGAAGCTATTTAAAGTTTTTTAAAAAAATAACAATGCCATTCAAAAGCATTACAAACACTGAAATGCAATATAAGCAGCAGCTTCACTACAGGCTGGCTAAAGGCTGGCCAGCCACCAGTACAAGGAGTTCCATTCCATTCTTCTATTTTCAGAAGAGAAACAATCCCATTGTATGCTTGTTTACAATTCTGTCACTCAGATCCCAGAAAAATAATAGCAGGCATCAGAAATAAACATGCTGATTTATACAGGTTTTGCATGGAACATTGGGCTGAGGAATAGATTTCAGATTTCCTGATGGAATGGTGTTGAATGATGCAGATTTAATTTTATCACTGATTTCCAGGCAGCTTAACCACAAATTGAATCATGCCCCTATTGAGTCTAAAAGTGAATGACCATTAAAAAAATGCAGCTCTTACTTACAGCTAAAAGTTTGTCTCCAATCTGAAGTTTGCCATCTTTATGTGCTGCCCCACCTTCAATGATTTTGGTTACATAAATGCTGTTGTCTCCAGGTATATGCTGATTTCCTACACCACCAGCAATACTGAAACCAAGACCTGCTTGAAGATAAAGGCATTACTCAAGAAACCTTTTTTGCAATCATTGGATTCAAATTCTTAGGTAAATAATAACACTCCTTATATAACACAAATATATATAATCAGGGTCTGGCTGAAGTAATTCTGATGCCTTTTCAAGTAAACTCCATAGTTTCCTAGAAAATAAAGCTCTGGAAGAGACATAACACATACACAATTCTGAAAACTAAAAGCTAGATCATTTACTTCATGCTTTGTGAAGTATGGGCACAGCAGAGCTGTAAACATCACCATGCTATAGTATCTATATATTTATAGCCACATTGCCCAGTAATTAATTTCCCTAAATTATTTTTAATCTCTCAAACATCCTTACTAGGTAAGCCAATTAAGTATTTTACTCCAATTCCAATGTACTTAAAAATTACTAGATACAATCAGAAACATTTTTATCATTTAAAAGAAACCTTGGCATTCTACAAGAACAGTTTCAATTCTATCCTTGTGAAACAGAAACTTTAGATTTCCAACATACCTTTGGGGCCTTTCACAAGTTTGATTTCCACTATTTTTTCTGTGACTGGTTTTCTCCTTTTGACATACAATCGTACAATGGACCCTGCTTCTTTCAGCGCCTCCACGGCTTTGCTGTGTGTCACATCCCGAACATCCACCTCGTTTACTCGCAGGATACAATCATTGACCCTGGAGACACCAACAGTCATGCTCAGCTGCTGTGTTACAGCAGAGTGCACACATCAGGAGCCCAATATTTTATCTATAATACACTAACATACATGTTAACACATTAAAATACAGAGATTTATCTTCAAAGTTCTTCTCATTCAAGACAATGCTCTAAAATTAATTATTAGTGCTTAAAAATAAATCAAGGATCACTGGAAAATATTTAAGAGGAATATTTAATTCACGGTTGAAGAGGGCACCTTATTATATGTATCTCATTTTGACAGTGTTTTTAACAGAGGTCTGCAAAAACTACCTTTTATTTACAGCTATAAATCAGAATGTAAAAAACCAAAACCTGGAAGGCACACAATGCAAATACAGTAGTTTTAAGCCATGATATGAGCAAGTCAATCTTGCTTTTCACAAGCAGTTTAAGTGCTGGCCTTCCAGTCCATTTAACATGTTGCTGCAGTAACAGTGAGCCCTCATTACACTAAGTGCAATGCCAGGCCCACCTGTCACCGTGTCCTGCCAGATGTACCTCTGACAATGGCCAACAAGCTAAAATGAAGCCATGAACTAAGCTCATTAGGACTAAAACCCATAATACAGCAGGTATTTGCACATGACATGATGGGCCGAGTTCTTGGCAACACAAGAGGAAAACAAGTAGTCCTTAAATCAATGTGGATGGCTTTCTTTGAAAAATTAAGACACTGAATAATTACCAAGCATAAAAAAGGGCTGTTAATAAACTCAACTACCTTGTGGATCAGAAAATCCACATATGGATAACCAAGAGTTACCCATGTTACCTGTCTAAGCTTTTTCTTGAATTAAGGATTATGAAACATATGGCATAATAAATTTATACCACAGAATAGAAAAATTTCACTTAATTTTCCAAAACTGCAGATATTACTAGTTTGGGAGACTCATATTGATCCACTCAAATATTCTTCATTATTTACAAAACACTTCCGTAAGGAAAACCCATTTAACATTTACTGCAGAGGGATAAAACCATTAAAAGTAACAGAAAATTTTCTATTCACTTTTTAAAATACAATAACAGCACTTAGTTACTGTATTTTACTGTAACAACCCAAGCCAGAAATCCATCCTACCGTAATCTTCCATCCTGTGCAGCTGCACCCCCGGCTATAATTTTTGTAATGAAAATACTTGCATCGTCCCCAATATGTGGGTTGTCTGTACCACCTGCAATACTAAAGCCAAGTCCTGAATTTCCCTAAAGATAGAGAAGGAAAAAAATTTATTGGGAAAAAGGCATTCTGGTGTATTTGATACACTACAGAAGCAAATCGACATCATTTTCACTGAAAACAAAAAAATTTGCTTTAAATATAAGCAGTATGCTACATATATAATTTATTTATATGAAAATAAGTATAATTACAACTTACTTACATACATGTAAGGAGAACATAAGTCACTGTATAACTGTAAGTGACAGTTCCAGCCCCACAGCTTTCTCACTGAACTTGATAAATTACACAAAATCTTCTATCTCTAAAGTGCTAGATATTTCATACAAATATTTGCTCCTCATTAAATTATTAGTGACACATCTTTCCAGAGAAACGCCTTTAAATAGCTGTGCCCCACCTCTAACATAGTCCCACAGATGCAGAGATTCAGACTGACATTTTTCTCTTCAAGGATTACTTGCCCTTACCATCAACTGCAAGACCTCTTCACCCTCTCAGTAACCACCAGAACTGCACAGGTATAAAATAATTTCTTTCTGCCTTTTCTGTCTTTTTGTTAACAGTGCATCTCAAGTGAACTGAGCTAGATCTCAACGTAGAAAACCTAACAAAGAAATGCACGTGACAAGATGTCACTTGTAATCTCAATATAAAACTTAATAGTATATCAGTAAAAGCCTATGAGAAAAATAGCAATACAGGAGATTAAATCAGAATCTCTGTTGTTAGTCTCTACAAGTCTAGGTAGCAACATGAAATGCAGGACATCTTAAAAGAGATCACTCCCCCATTTTACTCTCAATCATCAAGGATATTAATAAAACTTTCAATTCCTGCTTAGCAACTGAATGTACTTTTTTTTTAAATTAGGTTAAATAATCTACCTAAAATAAAAAAAGAAAGAGTAAGAATTAGTTTGGATTGCCATTTTTCATATTAAAGTATCATAAATTCCATTTCAAACAGAGTACAGAGGACATTTAGCATGTTACCCTTTCAAGAGTAATTTCTTCATACTCGTAATCTGCATCGGTGCCATTGACCTATTAAAAAAGAGAAAAATGAGACTTACAGAGAATCCTACACTTTACACAACCCATTTTGTTTGGTTGGAAGTTCACTCCCATCAAATCTCAGCTGATTCACAGTGGGCTCAGAGGGGACATGTGATTTTGCCACCACTCTGTGTTTATGAATCAGACAATCTTTTTGTATGAGTTTAAAAGGTGCCTGTTCAGAGAGCAGACTGCTCCACACAACTACTGTAGGGCACAGGCCCTCTGCTTCTGATTGCCAGAAAGGAAAAATGCTCTGGAGATCCTCAGATGTTCCTCAGGCTATACAGCAACTTGAAACTGAGAATAAAGCTAGAGAATGTGGGATAGAGAAGAATTGTAAGGAAGAACAGAGCAGCATTTTCTTCTTATTGTTCCACACAGAGCGGAGAAAAATCAAAGATTGATGCTTTATATAACCTCATGAGAAATAGGCAAGACCCTTCTAAAGTAATATTTAACAACTGTTTGTACTACTATTTATCATGTCACACACAGATTAAAGTTCAGCAATTTAAAATAGGGACAAAAAAGAGTAAAAGACTTTAGAAGAATACTTTATAAAGCTTGATGAAAAACTGAAATCCTAGAAAGAAGCCTTTTCATCCTCCATTTAGAAAGGATACCCACATTCTTTGCTACCTACAGAATAAGGAAAGAATCAAATACCAGAAGCAAAAAAAAAAATCAAAACTAACCAAAATCAATTAAATAACAAATTCTCAATCATATTTATATATTCAAGAGTAAGTTTTTTTCCAAGATACCTTGGAACTCAAATTCTTTCCTCCATAGTTACCTACAGCAGTTACAGACAACTCCCTAATCCTAGCCTTTTCAGATGAAATATTTAACAAGGTAAGATATAGCATTTATACTACTACTTTACAAAGGACCTTGTCTACCCTTAAGATACAGAATATCTGGAAAGACTTCTGCAGTCTTAACACACTAAAGATAAAAAACATATATAGAAGAAAGCTTTTTAAAAATCTGACCATTTCCTAGCAGAGACTTTAAAAAAGGAATTTAATTCACCCCAAATAAAATTAAGATGAAGCTACTTCCTTCCTCCTATGTTTATTTAACATATTTAAATGCTCCAAAAGCTGGCAATGCCATGACTTCTACAGGCTGTCTAATATCAAGCTCTTTTATCCCTCACTCCCTAATTATATCTCCCCTGACAATAGAAGCCATATCCATTCCACACATAACAGATTCATCTTTGCAAAGTACCTCAAAAATGATTATGTCCTTAGCAGTTTGTTCAGTGGAAAAGATACAGTGGTTTTAACACATGATATTTCTCTATTAAAAAGGGATGAGGTCCTGACCTTCTGAATCCATGAAACTGGATCTATTGCTACACCAACACAAAAGAAGCCACTGTGATCAAGAAGTTTTGATGGTAGCTTAGTCCTTGAGCTATTATCTACAGGAATGACAACATGTGCTAACTGAAGCAGTCAGCCAGCATTACAGTACCTGCAAAAGGTTCATGATGATTGATCAGTGTGCAGTGCTCTTTTCTTTTTTATTAAATAAATAACAAGGATGATTAATCATTTCCCTATTCACTGCCATTACACAAAACAAAGCTGATCCTAATATATTTAAGCAGTCTCTTATTTCCATGTACAAAGGTCATTAATCCAATTTAAAATATCTTCTACATAAACAGGAGCAAAGACCTCCATCACTTTATCTTCTCCTTTGGCTTAGTTCTATACTCTCTCTTTTTTTGAAAAATTACCTTTGAATTTATTCATTTAACAAACCAAACATTAGCAGAGACAGAAGCAAGAATATATCACATGATGAAAATCACTGACCCAGTCTATCTTTTCCAAGTTTTCAAGGGATCTCACACCTATTAAGCTAAGCTTTATTCCCCTAGATAGAAGACTTTATAAGTAAATGTTGTCATTATGCCTGACAAATGAACAGCTCAGCCTCCACATAACTACACTTATTACCTTAACATTTCAAACAGAACCAACTCATTTTCATGAACATTTATAGCACTAAACCCTTAAGTATAGCCACTGCATGAAGAAATGTTTTTATGAGAAGTGCAACAGAAATGGCACATTAAATATTAAAGTATCTGCCTGCACAGTTGAAGAAACAGATTGTTCTCTGAACACTGAACCTCTGGGATCTCAGTTGTGTTTTGCACTGCCATACACTGGTACACAGAAAAATTCCCACCTGAAATCTGCAACTTTTTTTTTTTCATGAAACAGCTATTTAAGGAGTTTAAGTGACCATCATGAGAGCTGACAAAATCAAGCACCACTCAGAGAGATAAAATAGGTCTTCTTAAACAGCAACAACAGGTGTACCCAAATACATTCATAAAACATGATTTAAAGTTATAAGTGAAAGCAAGTGTAGACTTACATATGTTGAAGTCTCCAAAGAATCTGTATTCACCAGCACTGGAGGGGGATTTGCCTTTAAAAATGAAAAAAAAAATACAAAGCATAAGAAAATGTACTATTACTGATAATTTTACAGCATTTAACTTGCTGGCTTTCTCAAAGTTCTGTTAAAAGGCAGCCTGACCTTGAGAATCTCAAAACTGACCTTCTAAAACACTTGTTACTATCCTGGACAAATTGCTTCCCTGACATAAACCTACACCATTAGAGAAGTCTGAGATCATATTTAATATCTAAATTCTGACATTTATTACCTTGTTTTTCAAAAGAAAACCTGAGTCATGCTACCATTCGACATGATGCCAGTTGCCCCAGTACTTGTGGTATGATATGCAGAGGTTGTTTTACCACTCAGTATCTCAAAACCAATTTTCAGTGGATTCAATTTCCCTTTCTTCCCATCAGGAGCAGTGAACCACCACCTTCAAAAACTGCAAAATGGAAACCTGCAGAAATGCAACTTAAGCAAGAAAGGACCTACACAACTGACTTGCAAAAGCAAACCCACAGCAGACATTCATTTACCCCACAGCAGCATGGGCTTCCATAGAAAATTGTTAAGGATTTACAAGCATAAGCAGCCAGAGATTATTGCCACAGAAAGCTGAAATAATATTAGCATTTTTACAAGCCAGGAACCAGTAGAGTAAGTTTACACTTTTAGTCTCATACACTGAGAATTTTTCTGTGAAAAATGTGGTTTCAACTAAAAGAAAATCCATAGGAACTGATGGCATTTTGTTGAAATGTTTCCAAATAAACAGATTTCCCAATTATCCATCAACTATCTGCCTTTAAAATGTTCCTAGAGCATCTAGCCTGCTCTAGGAATGTAAGCCAAACAAACAAACAGTGTCCAGATATATAACAGACTCCAAATACTCTTAATTATTAAATTCAGTGGCACTAAACAAAGTTAATCTCCTTATTGCTTTAATTAATCTGAGGGGGGGTTTAATATGTATAAAAATACATTATCTTTAAAATTATGGCATTCCTTTTTTTAATCTCCTAGGGATTGTGTGTGAGGAAATAAATTTAGGGATAGTTTAATAGGCTGCAAAAAAGCCAGTATTAAACTCATGCAAAGGCAAAATTATGACCTGCAAAAACATGACAATTGCATTAACCTATTCATATTCTGCATTTTTGTTATTACCATGACAGCAACATACTTCTGAAGAATTTACGATTTTTAAAGGCTCCTAAACCTAGGAAGTGATGACTCAGAAGTGCCTTTCAAAAGGCTGAGATGAATAATCTCCCATCATTAGACAGAAGCCATCAATCTGCTATCAAGTGTCAGAAATTAAGCCTGTGTGACTTAATAAGTACTAAAATCAGGTGGGACCTACACATGTTAACAGAGCAGACAATTAAAAGTAAGAGGAAACAAAAAGGATGACACATATGACTGTCAATATGCAATCAAAAGCCTTTCTCACCCAGCAGTTCTCTCAATAGAGGCACTGGCACATTTCATGCAGTAAAGACATTAAGCACTAGTTATTAATGTCACAATAAAAATCTCTGTCAAAACAACACTATCCTTCACAACCATTTTTTGCCACTAAGTTAAATTTCCTTTTCTGCTTCTTATTCAAGTGCAGGTTCTATCAAAATAAGAGTAAATTAAAATTAAGATCCTGTACTAAAAATCCCAACCTATTATTCATCACCATAATTTATTTTTAAGGTTACAATAAATATAACCATATGTTTTAATAAAAACATATGTTTTTATTGTTTTGCTCAGAAGAAAGCAAGGTTTAATTGCTCAGTCATGTTCTTTCACTCCATTTTGGAATGTATTTTTATTTAATACTAGGATTCTGTATTATCCAATTATATTCAACATACACAGCACCAGTGAAAGCTGGTTCTCCATTAATTTTATTTTTGAGGCAAACAAGTGTTCTTATTTTCATGTTAAAAAAAAGGACAACTAAAGGCAAAGTTGCTGTTAGTAGGTGAGCTTTGGTAAACAGTATGTTTGAGATACAAATCAGCTAACCAATGTAAAACCCCTTCTGTAAGCTAAATCATTGTTCCTAACACTCCTATATTTATCCAAACTCTCCATCAAGCAGCAGCAATTTACCATCTTTTTCAATGATGAATGAAAACAGCTGTGCCAGGCTTTCCAAAGGTACTATCTGGACATGGTTGCACTGGCCTGTCCACCTCAAATCTTGATGTGGGCAGAACCCCTCTATTAGAAGGGAGTATTTCTAAAACTAATCAAATTTCTGGTCTTCGTGGTGGAAGAAGTACAGGTGAGAGATTCAAAAAAACACACATCTACTGGAAATTGTCCTATAAAACAGGGAACTACAAAAAGTTTCGCTAATTATGGATTATGCAAAAAATAAAAACTCAGCAAAGACAAAGATTACCACCTGCTGCAAGGTTAGTCAAATAGCCTAAAAGTAAAAATTAAGGAAAAAAATACTGATGTCCATACTAAAAAAATTTTCCAGTAATATTCTGGATAGCTTAACTTCCTTTTAAAGTTAATAAATATCTGTCATCAAACGATTCCAAAAATTAATCCATCTTTTCAGAAGGTGTGGACTCATCATTTCAGATTTCTGCACTGAAAGTTACAAAAAAAAGAGCAGGATGACAATCTATTTGCAGCAATGGAACTGCTGGCTATCTTGGGTTGTTGCATAGCTTGCCATGCTGTGGTCTCATATTCCAAATTACATGGAAATACTAACATTAAGTTATGTTACTGCCTTCACTCACCTTGACAGGGTTTGGTTTCTGTTTTGGGGGGTGTTTGGACACTATGGGACCTAAAGGATGAAGGCTCAGAAGGGAAACATTTTACGAGTCAAATATGTTAGGAATGGCGAGGTAAAAAAATCTCTTTTGTATTCTAAATGTCCCCCAAAACAGTAATACCAATAAATGGGTGGAGAACATGAGAAACACCATGCAAGTGCAACCAAAGAAAGACATGTATGAAGTATTTATAGGAGATGAGAAAACATTTTCTTTAGAAATAAATTAAGCAATAACGCTTTAGTACGGATGCAATGGCTCTGAAGTTACTATGTGAACACAAAATATCCTATTGGTTTTTTCCATTCTTCTGGTTATTTTTTCTTTAGTTTTATTCACAACTTACTAGTCACTTCTATATGAAAATATAAATATTTTAATGTACTAAAAGCTGTCATAAAATGAACAAAAGTTAGGGCGAAATTCTAGTTATTTAACACTTCACCTCAAAACTGAGTGCGGAGTAGCAAAAGGCGTATTTCAGCAAAGCAACAAAACAAATTAAAGAAATAAAAGTTGAACAAGTTTAATAAAACAAAACAAAACAGCATAAAAACCTGTGGTATGGTGGATGGGATGGTCTCAGCAGGGACTGGTGGGACAGGGATCACAGGGACAATGGGAGAAGAGGAAGGAACAGCTTCTGTGGGCTAAAAATCACCAACAAAATGTCAAAAATAAGGAAAACTAGAAAAACAGTTTCAAACAAACAAGACTGAAATGTAACACCATAAACGACTATGAACTAGCACATCCATGGATTTGGGGCCTAACTGCAATGCAGAACAGTCCCCATGAGCCACAGTGCTCATGGCAGCACATTCCCAGCACTTCACTGATGGTGAGGAGCCCAAAATAGCTGGACATGCCCAGGTGGTTATACCACACCCCAAGGGACTCCCCCTGCAGCACTGAGACTTTGGGCTCCAACAAAAAACCTGCTCAGCTCAATGAACAGACTCAGGCTTTTTGTGGGCTGGTTTCACAACAGAATCCCTTCACCAATATACAACACAGTGCAAAAGCAGTGAAATGGGCTGAATAGCACTCAACAAAACTAATATTCCTCTTTGATAAAGAGGAAAAATCAGAAGTACTTTATGGTTTCTAAACTTAGCAAAAATCAAAGAAAACCTTTCAGTCAAATGGGTGGAAGGTGCTAAAACAGCTTCGATTTATCTCTCACAGATCTTCACACAGGTTTACCAAACATCTGCAGACTAGGACAATTTTGGTCTAAAGAATCTTCATTAAAATAATAACCAGGAAACCTAGTGACACTTAAGCTGCAAAGGAATAAGATTCCAAACAGCATTTTGAGCAAAACATTGACTCAAATGTCTTTGAGATGTTCACATACTGCTTGTCAACAAGCTGTCAGCAACACAAACTGCTGGCAACTATCATCAACATTACAAGCTGAACAGCAGATCAAAGCTGTTTAGATGTTCCAAGACATTCTTGTGATCGCTAAAAATAATGAAGCATAATGACAAAAGAAAATACTAAATCCCAAAAGTGAACAAAACCGCCAGAACATGAGTATTAAACATTTTAAAAGTTTGAGATAGCTTAAAATACAAAGCACCATACATCAACAGCAGCCACCAAATTAAAGAGTAATAGGAAATAATGCTATTTGCATTAAGAGTCCAAGAACACCAACACATATTAAATGTACATATGGTATTTCTACAGGGTTTTTTCAGCTCAAAGTCAATCCTTCCAAAATGAAAGCTGGTGAAAAACATTGCAATTACTGAAAGATGTAAGAACAAAATATGTTTGGTATCTTGAGAGTTAATCCTAATGTCATAAAGCATTCTTACATCTACAGACTAAAGCACAATATTTCAAGTGCTTAAAAAGAGGAAGGTAGGGGAGAATCTAAATTGGTCTGGAAAAATATTAATATGCCTTTTGCAAAGGATGCAGGAACTGCTCAGTGCAATTAACCTGTGGCTCCTGAAAGAACACCACAGGCTTTAGATGACAGATCAAAGTAAACAGCTCAAGCACCAATTTGGCCCTACCCATGCAAAATATGAGACACCCCTTTAAGTCTGCCTTGTTCCAAAGTAAGTGGATTTTTATGTTTAACCTACACACAGTAAGTCCTTCAGTGTGGAAATACCAACCAATATGTAGGTAAATCAGAGCACCATGCACATCCTCAAGGAGACCAACTAAGCCAGCAAATTCTGTAAAATTCAGCAAATTCTGTTCTTAGGAAACAACAAAAAGATACACTTTGGAGAGCAAAAATCAAGCAAAACGAAACTTTCAAGAAATTACTGTAAACCCCTATATTGTATAAAGTACAGCAACATTCACTGGAAAACAAGAGAACAAGTATTCTGTTGCCAATCTGATTTCAATAATCACTACTTTGATTTCTAGAAATAAAATACAAAAGAAAAGTTGGTAAGAAAGTCATTAGAAGGGATAAAACTACAGAAAGAAAAGAATGCAACATACTTCCTACAGTTTGCACAAAAATGCTCATCTCCAAACACACAGGGCAGCACCTACCTTTCCTACAGAGCAATTCGAGCAGGAGCCATCAGACACCCAACCACTAGCAGCTTTTACTTTTGCTGTGCTTTTTGTAGGGCTCTTTTTCACACTGTCCCGTAGGTTTGTGAATTTCCCTCGGTGTTTGGCAGCTGCTGGCAGCGTGCAGGAGCTGAAAGGTGCCCGCGGCGGGTGCCGCAGCTGCAGCTGCCTTGGCTGCAGAGGAGCAGCTTCGTGTATTTCCAGTCTTGGGCTCCTCATTGCATCAGAGTGCTTGAGCGTTCCCATCTCACCACCATGAGCACTCATCAAAGTCACAACACTGAGAGTCCTTTTTGAAAAGAAAAAAAAACCAACCAAAAAACCCCCAAAAAACCAACCCAAATGGAAAAAAACCGAACCGCCAAACAGCCAACCAAAAACACCCAGCCAAACTATGGAGGGAAAATAAAGGAAAATATTTCTTCCTGAGGAAGTTAAAAATATGTTTTCTAGATTATGGTCATAGGAAGAAGCCCTACATGCTCTGCATTAGCTAGGTCTGCATGTTGTGTGCTCTCTCACTCTATTTAAAGAGCACCATTGAACCACCACACAACAGTCAATTTGCTGGGCACAAATAATCAATGCAATGCACAAATTATTGAATAGAAGGCAAAAGTCATCTGACTATTATAAAGAAGCTCCAAAGGTTATTTCTCCCAAAACCTCCTACAACCCCTTAATTTTTCTCCATTTAACCACCTCAAAACTTTTCCAAGGCTTACATCCAGAAATTTTTTAATCCCTCTGCTGTTCTGAATGCTTCTTGGGGCGGAAAATTAATGAATTTACAAGCAGTTTATGATGGAAAATACATGAATTGTGAGTGGGCAGATACATTGTACAAGATTTCAACATTAAAATGTCAAAGAAAATAAATTTTTAATACCATAATAATAACAAGAACTACTTTGTGTTAACAACTTCAAGAGTTGTATTTCCTTGAAATGCAGCAGTACCATGAAACAACAATTTTCAGGCACACACTGTTTAAAATATTTTTTTTTAATTTAAGATATTTAAATGAACACTTAAATGTATATTTAAATGAGGGTTTTATTATTCATTCAATTTTTAATGCTAAGGATGTATGACCTCTACATTACATTTTTATTCCAATATTCAAAACAAAAAAAGCTCCAAAATTAATCCTTCCCCCATTCCCCCCAAAAAATACAAAAGGAGGAAACAGCTTGATTTAATCACATTGTTGAATATTAAACTTTACCAGCCTATTTTAAATTCTAGAAAAAGGGAAGGGTCAAAGGTGATTTCCCAGCATCTATATGAAAATTGACAGCTAAATACACCTATATTCCCAGCCTGACAGAGGAAAGAAGTGGGCTCAAATCAGAGTTCTCAGCAGGTACCCACAACCAGCATTGGCACAGTGTGCAGCACCTGCCTCTTGCCCAGTGGGTCTTCTCCAGGAATATTCTGTGGATCTGAATTTCTGGTCCTGGGTATGATGGGAATGAAGGACACCAGCCCATAGGAAACAACTTGATTAGGTTAGCTGTACTGTATTTAGCTAACATGGAGAGGTTTCATCAGTTCACAGCACTAAAACATGGTTATTCTCCATCTCACATTACACCTTCCTACAGCAAATGTGAATATTTAAATTATGAGTCAGCAGAATTTTTACATGCAGAGAAAAGGAAGAGACATACAGACCTAAGTACAAACATTTCCAGTTATTTATAGCATGAATATTAGGAGATAAATAGGTACTGACAGATGCTCCTCTAATCACCAAGAGCTGCCATGTCTCATCTTCTATCCAGAAGGGATGTAATCAAGAGCTGCCGAACGTTTCATTACTGCAATATTCATAACGCAGAGACAGAAATGTCTCTGGCCAGTGACAGGAAACCAGAAATGTGCTGGCCATGCCAACATTCTCAGACTTGTGCAGGCACACAGCAGGGATGTCTTTGGCCTGTGAAGCATTCAGGAGCTGGTGGACTGGGTCCCCCTAACACATGTGGGCAGGTGCACCCAGGTTGTTCTGTTCCAGAAAGCCCAGGAGCCTGTGGGGTTTGATACTGAAGGGCAAAGGCAGAGATGAAGATAAGCATGTTGTGGATGCGCATGAAGGTAAATAGTTCAAAACCAGCACATCATAACTTCTCCTTTGAGAAATGTCCACAGCTGCATTAATACTGAGCATCTCTGAGGCACACTCTTCAGCCTGCAGCAGTTACTGGGATGGAGCTGTCCTCTGTTGAAGGCCCTGTATCAGAATCCTCTTTGGCAACAGCTGCTAAATGGCAGATTTTGGAGACCACAAACATTTATTTTCCAGAGACGTTCAAGACTGCTTGAGGTTTAGCAGGGTACATTTATGCCATCCATTTTACTTCCATATCAGTACCCAGCATGACATTGCCTAACTACTAATAGACAATACTAATGTCTATTACATTAAAATGTAGAAAAGAAGCAGAAGAGGGGCTTGGGGTATAAGGCTTTTTGTCATGCATACATAATAAAGCCCAAAATATGTGATGTTCCAGATTCAAAAGGAACATTTTATTCCTGGAGACATCAACTTTGTTGAAAACACATAGACCAAGTAGTGTGCTGACTAAAACAAAAATAAATTAACTTTTAAGAGTGCTAAGAAAATTGAGGGCAAGGGGAAGAGATGTTGAATACTACATTCTTGGAAATTCATCTGTCTGGCTTCTCTATTCTCCTCCAAAAAGAAAAGGTGAAGACAATGCAAAAGATGAGGCAAAGGAATTCACATATCTGCAGTGTGCTTTCAGACCTTTTGATTTCCGTGGCAAAAGAAGAAACATTATGCAGCAGAAAACTGCTAAGAGCATGATTTTTTTTCTGGCAGTCATCACGCCTTTGGTCCCTGAGGTGATATCAATAAGATATCAACAATTAAAAGAAAACAAAACCTTGAAGGCAATTGTAATTCCAAAAGCAACAGTCCAAGCACCAAAACACGGTCAAAGGACAGGCAAAAAAGAGGTACAGGCAAAATATCTAATCCATCCTGCATAGTGTGCCTTGAGATCTCCAGTGAAAAAGCTCAGGCTGCACTGAAATTTCAGTGGTAGAAATGCCAGTATAGAAA